TTTTAAAAATAATATATCCTTTAAAATTAAACAATACGTATATGTTAGCATCTTTAATTTGTCCACCGGTGGACAAAGACGGCAGTGTCTTGGTCCAATCAAAACACAGAAGTTTTACTCCGGAGCTAGCTAGGGTTGGTAGTTACAGGACCAATTCTAGTCTCGATCTGCAAATTAAAGGATCGGAAAAAGTGGATCTGTAGATCACACCATCCCAACTCTTAAAAATGGATGGTTTGTTTACCATGTCCCCTAAAACTAAAGGCACTTACAGAGTTATAATCGCTAAATCGCCCCAAAAACCATATCTGTGACTACTTTTCGTAGAGATCAAAGCTTCTTCACTGTATACCCAGATTTTTCCGTTCAATAAGATTGATCCAGTAGAAACGTACGTAGTACTCATCATCACTTAGCTTGGATCTATCTTATCCATCCATCTGCCTGTATATATATTTTAGTCCGTGTTGACACGCTCCGGATCGGATCGGAAGAAGTGATCGATGTCAAGGCGGCCGGGAAACCCTTCACGGCGATTTGGCGGTGGTGGAAGCCTCGGAGGGCTTTTGCATCCAAAAACTCGTGTTTCCCCTTTAGTTACCATACTCCTCATTCTGGTACCTACTCCTCTAATTACATTTAATTCCAAGATTAGTCTCATAGTAATAAAGATTCCCGCCCTAATATCATACATGAAAAACAACTTGATCATATGATTTACCTTAATACTAGCTGTCCGTCTTTGGTTTCAGGGTGTTGTCGCTGTTGTTGTCTATTTTTATCGACACTCAGGTACATGTTTAGTACTTTATCGGCTAGTGACTGCTTAGTTTCCCTTGAGACCCAAAAGAACATTAACGTATATGGCTCTGATTTGATAAGTTTTGTCGTCATATGTTTTAGGTTTAGCTGGATTCAACAAAGTAGCACTTAGCAGGATTAATGATGGTAAACTACTCGATCTGTATCAATTAGTTATCTTGTAATATAATGCATTATATTATATATATTGGAAATTAAATTTGAAGTTTGATTGATGCATGCATGCAGGAGACTTGACATGCACGTCAGAGGTTTCAAAAACATTAGCGTATTTAAGAAAGGCATATGGTGACAGTATGCATAGAATATTGCACGTAGGGCCTGATTCCTGTTCAGTGGTGTCGAAATTGGTGAAAGAAGAGGGAAGTGAAGCCTGGGGAGTGGAGCCATACGATATCGAGGATGCCGATGTGAACTGTAAAAGCCTTGTGCATAGGGGTGTTGTACGTGTTGCAGATATCAAGTTTCTTCTCCCTTACCGACCCAAATCCTTCTCCCTTTCTCTTGTCTCTGATGCAACCGATTACCTCTCGCCTAAATACCTTAACAAAACACTTCCTGAGCTCGCAAGAGTCTCCTCTGATGGTCTAATCATCTTCACAGGTAAATCTTCTACGAGGGCCGAGAAACCCTCAGTCACTACCCGAGGGTTACTGTTGAAACTATGGAATTTTCGACTGACCTGAAATTGATCTTAAATCAAGTCGAAAGCCTTGTTCCAACCACTTTTTACTTTAGACTTGATTTAAGATCACTCTCAGGCGGTCGAAAATTCCATAATTTCCAACAGTGGGCATACATGTAAAATCCTGCATTGTGGTCAAATTTGGAACCTCGTGGTTAGTAAGCCAACAGTCTAACATAGGTAAATAAATTGATTGAAGAAACTTTGTTTTTATTAGGTTCTCCAGGGCAGTCGAAAGCAAAAGTTACAGAGCTAACCAAATTTGGGCGTCCAGTAAGTCTCTTCCTCCGATCCTTCTGGTGTTATAGGTTTCATAGTAATCTCAATATATATATATATAGTCTAACAGTACAGAATGGTTGGTTGTGAAGGCGAAAATGAGGAGCTCAACATGGTGGACACGGTTTTTCACTCAGATTAGCCTGGAGGAGAATGAAGCTGCGAATAAAAAGTTTCAGCAGGCTGTCAAAAAAGGTGGCTACAAGCCCAAGTGTCAAGTCTTCCATCTCAAGTCTTACCACTGATCTCATGCAAACAAAAAATATACATCAAGAGAATATATATAATCCATTTTTTGCTGCTATTCTCCCCAGATGTGTGCCTTTCATTGGGTAATTCAATTCAATATTGTTAGCTAATTGTAACTTTGATAGAAAAGTCTGCAAAACGCATTTTGAGTAAAACTTGCCTTATAACCCTAGTCGGCAAAAGACAAATACACTAACTCAAACAAAAAAAGTCAATAAACAACTCTCATAAGAAATCAAAATTGAAACTTTATTGTTATTAAGTAAACTGTCCAATCAAGTGCCCCCTTCATTATTGTAACTTGTACTTAGGGGTATTAACCTTATTAGAGATCACAGTGTATATATATATATATATATATATATATATATATATATATATATAATATACTTGTCATTTGTCAAAAAGCTCAAAGGAGCTGAGCTTCAGAACTTATCTGTAAAGAGCGGTGCTTGCTTTGAGCTTGTGTTTCAACTCATAGTTACAATAAAGATGCAATAGAAAATATAAACAGATCATAATAGTCAACAAAGGAGGGTAATCCACAGAATAGTAAATCAAAGTACATGTGAATTGTCAAACAACCTTTTTAATTTCAATTCTTAGAACAATTTTTTAAAAAGAAAAAAATACAAGAATATCATTTTACTCATAAAATATTATGTTTAAATCTTACAAAATAGAATTGCAGTTTTGTGTCTATACTAGTATACTCGGATGACAGATACGCAGGAGTCCTGAAATTGAAGTCGTAGTGTGCAGTGGGAACAATACTCAATGTGGTGGGTTCCTTGTGAGTACTAATTAGTACCGATCCTTTTATTTAAAAGACCGTATGTACCAAATACTGGTCCTCTTAATTACCTAAAAGGCTGTTGAGCTACCATAATTTATCTATTTACCATCCTATTAGATCGATGTGTGAATGCCTTGTGGGTGAGAGCATCCCTTTTGCACCTAATATACATCATTAATTACTAAGAACCAATCATGTATCATATATGTGCCATGAATATAACATGAGCAACTAGGCTTCAAATTGATTTCAATAAATAATTAGTGAAAAAAAAAAGATGTTGAATATATAATATATAAAGTATATATAAATTTGTATTATCACAGTTTAATTATAATTTGTGTAGATAAAACATAATCTTCAATTTGGCTTTGATTGAGTTCAAATTTTTATGTTAAAACTTTAATTTTAGTCATGACAAATTTTTACACATATATATATTTAAAAAGTGAAGAGTTAGGTATCAATCTGAATCAAAATGCAAAACAGCTTTTGCCCCTTTTTGTAGCTGTGATGAAGAAATGTTCAGAGAAGCTATGTCAGTAATTTCCGTGAGTGGTTCATTAACAAAAGCTAATATAGAAAAGTGTAACAGTCTTAGGCTTTGGTTGACTGACCCACACTTGAGTAATCAAACATTCACTAAAGCCACTTTACACCAGGTCAATCTTTTCTTTTCTTTTTTTAAATATAATGATGTAATAATTAATCTATTATTGAGTACACCTCTTTGTTTATTTCTGGCTTTTGAGTTTTGACCTCATATCCTGGTTGGATTGAAGTCACATACTAAAACATATAGTTTCATTTGAGTTGTCTAGTTTAGTTGACGAGACTTGATTAAAGTTCATAATTGAAAATATATCTTTAGGTGTTCTTCGGGTGTTCGTATATTTTATTATAATTTTGTATTTGTTTAATATTTTTTAAAATATTTTAAAGACATGATAATCATAAATTATTTAATATTTTATAGTTAATATTAAAATATTAAATATATATTAACCTTTAAAAATTTAGATTTGAATGATTTAGGGGTATTCGCTAAAAATAATATCATTTTGTATGAAATAACCCTCTAAAGAAAAAGGAAACAATAGCTAATCAGCTGATTAGGCAGCCTAGTCGGAGCTTAGGCGGCCGACAACCTAAAACACCGACTATGGTGATATGCTAGGCGGCCGACCGGCGCTAAGGCGCCTAGGCGCCGATTAATCGGTGTCAAACACTGCTAAATTTAATTTTTACTCAATTTTTGATAATATTAAGTTTAGTATTAATATATTTATTTTATATGTTTAAAAAACACTTTAAAAATACTACGGAATATTAAATAAAAAAAATTAAGTTTAAAAATACTAAAAAAAATAAACAATGAACAATAACATGTATAATCTGGCGAAATTTAGACCTGAGTAATATCTGATATTTATTGTTAATAAAGTATTTATGTTTTCATTAAAATGAAATGTTTTAACCCGACACTTTTTAAGAATAGTACGCAAAGCACATTACTCACGGCGTCATGTCATATCATTCATTGTATTACATGTCCATAGTTGAACATTTTGTGGCTTGACTAAAATGCTTGGGTTGGGACATATCCCATTGTTGGGATTGTAAGGACAAATAATTCCAACTTTATCAACATTCAAACACTGCTAATCCTCGTAAATCCCAAGAAGTATCCGACATTATGTCTTTCTGTTGTTGTTGGAGAAACATGGCATGTACTTCTGATATTCTCCTCATCTCTATGTTATTGTACATATTAATTTGCAGTCATGAAGATATATAGCTCTAAGAGGAAGCTGCCGTTTCTTGATTCCTTAACTGATAAATCCCATCAATATAATGTGTTTACAAAAAGTGGAAGGCTTATTTGGTGCATCGTGGTTGCAGATTTTTCTTGTCACTCAAAAATAAAAGTAAAAACGTCTCTATGGTACTTTTTATTTAAAGTGACAAGTAGTGATTGCGAGTTTTCTTCGTCATCGTCATCAGCAACTTTATTAAAAGTTTTCTTTTCTCGGGGAAATGATGTTGATAATATAAAGATATCTCAGGAATTTATTACATGCATGAATGATTTGATGATGAAAGTGATATATAGTGCAACACAGCGACATTATTTGATTTCCAGATTCAGTGAAACCTAGCTATCTAATAAAGAACTAGTAGTTTAACATTAATTATTGACAAAAACACAAAGATTATTATATTAATGATCTAAATAAGGTAGGTTGGCCCTTGAAGAATGTTGGGCGGAGCCATTTCTTGGTGGAGATCCATTGAATAGCTATAGCTTTCTTGAGTCTGATCATATCCATAGAATAGGTTGTCGTCTGCTAGGTCGATGGGAAAGCTGTTAAATCCCTGGGAATTATTGGTGGCGGCCATGGAGAAAATGGATGCAGATGAAAAGGCGGTGTTTGCAGCAGCAATAATGGGGTTTTCTTCGTGTGGTTGAAGATCATCTGCAGGGCAGTGAAACTTGGTGCTACTGCAGCTTAGAGACGATAATGGTGGTTGGTTATGAATGTGTGAATAATGTGTGGGAAGGGGCACTGTTTGCTGCGGCAAAGAATACAAATCTGCAGGCGGCGGGAACGGCAACGGCGGCGGCGGTGGTTGCAGCTTGGTGCCTAGTAGCTTTTTCTTCAGTTTTGTGTTCCAGTAGTTCTTGATATCATTGTCTGTTCTTCCCGGCAGCTGCGCCGCTATGATGGACCACCTTAATTCAAAACCAAACAATTTCATCCATTACGATCAAATCCGTACTATTACCTTCAAAACTATAGCTAGTAACAAAGACACAACTTTATTTCCTTATGTATGTGAATTGAAAGGTAATAAAGTGCTGGATTTGACTCTTATGGCCTTCACTTACAATTCTTACTACCTGGCCGGTGCTGGTCTTGATCATTCAGGCCTTTTATAATAATAAACAAGAACAGAGAATAGAACCCTAATTCTATCATAAAAGTTCTCGGATCGGACTCTAAGTTAAGTAGCTAATAAGTACTAATCTGTCGTTCTATCTTGACAAAGTCAATATGAGATCGTATCAAGCAACTAGGTATATATGAATAAATATATACCTGCTTCCAATGGTTATGTAGAGGGTGCAGATGATGTTGTCTTCTTCCTCAGTAAACTCACCATGCTTGATGTTGGGGCGGAGATAATTCAGCCACCGGAGGCGGCAACTTTTTCCACATCTCTTGAGCCCTGAAAACAATATATATATATGATCCAACTAACCAGGATGAAGAACAGTGAATTAATCACTGATATGATGATGAACAGCTAGCATATATATAAGAAGTAACCTATTTTCTGGGGAAGGGTGATCCAGTTGCCGCCGGTGCCGTGTTGTTGGATATAAGACTTGAGCTTGGCATCTTCTTCAGGCGACCATGGCCCTTTCTTCACGTTGGCTTTGTCACAGCATGGAGCTCTTCCCATCTCTGATCTCCTACTATACTGATAATGGAATAATTCAATTCAATATAATGCTTCTTTCTTTCTTATATTTTAACTTGTTGGGTAGATAGGTATCATTATATGTACGTACCTATTTATAGTAATGGCTGGAGATAGATCCAATTAACAGTTTATATTTATATATATAATATAAACTGTGGATTACGGCTGGCAATAATGTCATTTTAGGATCCACCATTTTCGTCATTTCTTGTCATGCTTACTTTATATTGCATACATATATACATACAAACTCCGTCAAGGCAAACTAATTAGTATTATTAGTACAATATGTATATATAATATTCCGTAACTAATTTATATAAGTTGATAAAAGCTCTGATCTTTTATATATTCACATGCAAATGATCCCTACTTTTTTCCTGTTGTCTTGTCTTGTCTTCCCCAAACTTTGATAAACATCTTCAATTCAAGTTTTTTGTTTTACTGTCAACACTTCTTTTTTCCTTTTAGGTTTTTTCCCTTTCTACTTTATGATCGAATTAAAAAATGTCAAAGGAAATTAAAAAAAAAAAAAAAATCTTTTTTAAGTTATAACGTAGCATCTATCATTTTATTTATAAGATTATAACACGAAAGACAGTTAGCTTGGTAACTAAAAAACTCTAACTTCAATCCTTGTGGGAGTGCTTATGGACCTTTTTAATTTGAGCAGGCTAAGTCAACTTAACCTGGTTACCTCATTGTGACTCTTTATCAGTTAAGTTAGAAATCAGGTTTCACCTAGAACACACATCCAAATAACGACGACAAACTAAATCAAATATTGCAACATGAATATTTTTTAAATATAATAAATTACATTATAATTAATAACAATTATATATGAACTATATATACCTAGACAAAGTCAATCCTAAAAGTTGCGATTGGAAGACCTTCTCTCCGTGTTGAAAACTCAAAAGCCACTTTTTTGTATTTAATCTGATCAACAATAGCTTTATGCCTTTATCAACCCATTATTACAGTTTAAAGAAGAAAAAAAATGATACAACACCATTAAAATTCAACATCGAGTTCTAGGTGAACCATAAAAAAACATTGTATATAAAGACCATCTTTTTGTTGAATTAACAAAAGTCAAACTAGCTCTATATATTCTGCTGTTCCTACGCCTTTTCCAGGTTTTCTCCATAAGATACTCAGAATACAACCATGGCTGTCCAAGCCTTCATTTTTAAACAAATTCTCCATTGACTAAAGTGACTTGTTCATTTATCCTCTCATAAGGACCAATGCAATTTCTTGTTTGATATACAAATGAAAACCCACCGTCATTATCCAAGAGTCCAATAAGCCACTCTTACCAGGAGTGGAACTTGAAACCTACCTTATGATTATCAAGCCAACAGTATGAGTTACCTCAGATTTTGTGACTTATAGTGTCCCGATTGGATTAACACCTACCGAATATTGGTAACATAAAAATGGGTTTTAATTTGTGTTTGAAGTGCCCAAAACGGATTATAACCTATTATTTGTGTAGTTGGTTTGCTAGCTTGTCTTACCTTATGTATTAAAATAGTTGAGGATAACCCAACCAAATTTATCATATTATTGGTTTGATAATTATAAAATTCTAAATTCTAAATTTAACTCCCAATGAAAGCAGTAGCCTATTAATCTTCTTAGTTTGAACTAATTAACTATAAACAACCTAGAGTGATGCATCTCTTTGTAATCCTTTGTCAGCTGAGGTCACAAGACAAAATTTATCCAATACACACTCAGATAATGGTTACAAGTTTTCTTCATTACTCTGGAAAAAAAAATCCAGTGATACTTTTGTTTCAAAGTAATTGAAAAATAACAATACTATCACAAAGGAAATTTCATTTGGACGGGCTACATCCCAGTACATCACACTGCAATATCTCAAACAATGATAGATACCTAAATTCTCAAAAACCAAACATAATAATAGTAAACAAAACCACTCTAAATGTAGAGACACCATATCATGGGAGCACAGAAGTATTCAAACACCAAACTTCACACATCCATTAACCAACCACCTAAAAATACTATCCACAAACGAAACTCTGCCACGCAAACACACAGAATTTACAGACCACTAGAGTATCAGGTCAGCCTGAATGATTTACATGTTCAGCCGCAGAAACTGGTCAGCATGTGCAGTAAAGATTGTACCCGCTACTCTATACATTATATTCTGGCTTCAAAGGTTGAATTAGTAATTAGATCTGAAAAAGAAACAGACTAAGATTAATATTTTTTAGAGACAAATTAATGTTGGGTTTCTTTTGGAGAGGTAGCATACCTACATCTATAGTATTGCTGATAGCCTGACACCGTCTTGCAAACTTGGAGTTGTCAAGAAATCTAAAACTACTTTCTCGATATAGTCCTATCTTCTTCAAGCTTCCCAATTCTATCTAAGTGGCCACTGTCATCACTACTTCCTCCCTTATAATTGCTCTTTTCGGGCAAACCTCCCTGCAGGAAGTAAATACAAATGAGTAATAAAATCAATTCCAAAAGAAAGGAAATGCTAGTGATTTATTAGGCCATTCAATTAGTTGATTTAGTTCAGACACACTCAGTCCAAAAATCCACAGCTCTCCCTGCCCCAGGAGAGGACAGCAGAAGCAGACGTTAGTTTTTAACATAAATATTTACCTGAGTGTCCCCAGGAACTCTTTTGACATCAAGTGTGGTCACTTCTCGAACTGTAACCACTTTATCTATGAATACAGTAGTCTCCTCTGCACTAACTGGAATTTGGTCAAACTCCACCTCTGGATTCTCAGAAGCTTGTTCATCTAATTCAGTTGCTAGTTCACTAGAAATGTAAAACAACATATACAAAGTTAAGAACTAGCAACATATACTTATTGCATTCCAGTTCCTTTGTAATTATGTTATTGGTTAACTAAGCATGGCATCAGAAAGTGAATACACAATGACAGATACTAGAAGAATGGTGTTACCAAGGTGTTATATTGTCTTGTGATTGAGATGCAAAATCTTGCCTCCTCCTTTTGTTGCTCTGTCCCCGATCAAGCAATGTATCAGCACATCTCTTAAGCCATGAGAAAGGAGTAGAGAGGGGAGAAGAGGAATTTTCCAACTCTCCTCTAATAGGAGAATCATGTCCAACACCATTGTTAAGCTGTCTGCTGGGACCAGAACCCAATTCAGATTGTTGTTTCAAAAGTTGCTTGGAAGAGAGTTTTGGTTCATCAGATCGCACACGTGACTGTTGTTTTACAGGAACACGGATACGATCCGGAATGACTTTAATTTCCTCCAATTTCTTTAGGTGCTCAATCTGAGAGAGAATCTCCTCCCTATCAGCGTGAAGCAGCTCCCTTTGTTTCTCCAACTTCAATCTTTGCACCTTGAGCTCTTCTATAGCATTGTCTAACTCTGCCCACTCTTTATTCCGTTTCTCACGATCTGAAATGATCTCTTTTCTCTCAGCATCAAGCCTTTTCATTTCTAATTGAGCATATTCCATCTCTTTTGCTGCAGTCTCTCTTAAGGAAGAGATCGACTCAAGCTCTTTTTTCTTTTCTTCCTCCAAAGCTTTCTCTCTTTCCATAAAGTCCCTTTCAATTTCTTCACGCCTTTTCTCAACACAGTTCTCTAATTCCTTCTTCCGCATCTCAAAATCCAGCAAGAAGTCTGCGCGTTCCTTCTGAATCTTTCCAAACCATTCTTCACGTTCACGATCAACTTCACTCCTAAATACTTCGCGATCACGGGATAGCATTTCTAGATCTTGTTTATACTGCTCTTGAATTGCATTCTTCTCTGCTTTCAGAGCATCACGCTCATCTTTAAGCAGCTTAGAGATGGCTAACCTCTCCTCAGAAATTTGTTCTGCTTCCTTCTGCAGTTCTGCTCTTTTCTCATCAATACACTCCCACTCTGTTTCAAACTTAGCCTTCTCTGCTTTCAATTGTTCTGCCACACCCTCAAGTTCAGACTTCTGTGCTCTAATCATATCAATCTCTTCTTTCAATCTCATTTCTAGACTGAGGAGTTCTTTTGTTTCACTTTTCATAGTTTCTACTTTCTCTTCCTCATGACAAATGTATGTCTTTTTCTGCTCCAAGTCATCCAAAGACCTTTGAAGGCCATCCTTTATGCGGTCAACTTCTTCCTTATCACGTAGCAGATCAGTCATCTTTGATTCTACCTCTCTTTCAGCAGCTATAAGATTTTTCTCTTTCTCCTCCAGAAAATGTAACCTCTCATCCATTTCTTTCTCTTTCTCTGCAAGTCGTCCCAACTGCATATCCATATCATGCTCCTTATCAGAAATCAGGTCCTCTCGCTGCTTCATATCCATTTCTTTCAATTCCCAAGCCCGTTTCTTGGCCTCTAATTCCTCTTCCACCAATTTCATTTTCAATTCTAATTCAGCCTCAATTGTAGATTTCTTTGTTACTAAAGCAGCTTCACGATTAGCCATAGCTTTTTTAACACCATCCTGCATGGATTCATCAATGCAAATATAATGAGGATTATAATGAATATCAATTAAAAAATAGTCGTATTTCTTCAAGAAGTCAAATCTTACAAACTCTTTGCTTTCAAGCTTTCCCTGTAACAGGAGCAATTCTTCCTCTTTCTGTTTAAGGTCACATTCTCTTCTAATAGCTTCCTGCAGATATAGTGATTACTTTAAAGAACATTTTCGACTTTTTTAACTGAGACACGAATAAAAGGACAGGCATCATGCATAAAAAAAATAGAATAATGAAGATGGTGTGTAGCACAGTTGGTCTCACCTCTTCTCTTTTGGATAAAGACACTGCCTCAAGTTCCAAATTGCGTCGTTGCTCATTCAGGGCTTTACGTTCATTTTCTAAGTTTGATTTCGTATCATCCAACTCTTTCTCATACTTGCTCAATTCTTGAGATCTATTGAGGATGTGCTCTTCTCTTTGATTCAGCAGTGCCTGCCCATCAAGCAACCTTTCTTGCGACTGTTGCAGAGTTTTCTGCCTTTCCGATAATGATTTTCTCTCAAGGTCAATCTCACTCTCTTTAGCATCACACCTAAACAAGGAGTATCATTTGAAAAGAATAAATTGTAAGTTGCCTACTGGCCATTTTAAATATATCAGACAAATGAAAACAAAGAAAGTAGTACAACTACTGGAAAAGGTGTTCTTACATAAATGTGTTTAGAATGACCAAAAGGTCTGATCATTCCTTATGTTATAAGGATTAGGAAGTCATGCAAGCAATAACATAAATGAAGCAGAATTTAAGAAAACAGCATAAAGTAAGCAGCATGGAATTGTTAATTGAAATAAGTAGGAGCAAAGTTGGGCAAGAGTACTTCATGAAAAGTGTATTCAACCACTAAATATTATGAAATCATTTTTCAAAACACATACTCAGATTTAAATGATAATATCTGTCTTCTGAGGTCATCCTCTCGTGCTTCAACTTCTTGTAGTTTTCTTTCTGCAGTACGATGAAATCGTTTGGCTTCCGTTTCCAAGGATTCTGCTGTGTGCAACTTTGATTCTGCCTCTGTATATTTCTCCTGAGCATCCTCCATCATCCTTCGAGCTTCAGCCAATTTAGTTTCTGCTGCAACTTTTGCCTCGGCAGAATCTGTACGCATCTCATGCAACGCCTTCTCAATCTACAAAACAACCAAAAAAAAAAAATCTTGTTAAAGAAAAACAACAAACTTTTGAAAAAGAAAAAGAATACCGAAATATGAGGACGTTCAATCATACATTTGCAACACATTCTTTCTCAATTCCAAGAGCCTTCTTCAGATTATCTTCTCGTTTCTTGGCTTCTGTCATCTCCGAAATTCGTGCAGCCTGTTCTCTCTTATACAGCAATTGAGCTGAGTCAGCTGTGGCTGTCAGTTGCTCATATTTGGATTCCCATTGTTTCCTTTCCAAGATGAGCAAGCCCATATGATGCTGATGGTCATATAGCTATTAAAACAGAACCCAGCCGAAACAATTAAGAACTGAGCCGAAACCAAATATAGAACTCAAAACCCTACTTGTTAGGAAGGTTTTTAACTAGTCATTGCATCGTTATCAGACTACCACCAAAACTAATTTTGCTCCATTTATTTCAAGCAATAATTGCACAAACACAGTTCCGGCACATTCAAATTTTGCCCATCTGATTAAAATAAGGGTTAAATGTTTAAATTTGCCATTTTTTCATTACAAGATTGAATTTGTCTTCCCGAAATAATCAAGAAAATACTTATTATTCTTAATGCAGCAACCAATCAAGGAGGATTCTGTTAGTAAAATAAATAAATAAATAATATCAAGACAAAATACAATAAAATATTTAAAACCTCAGATTCTAATTTGGCAATATAGGCAATGAGAGCAGCCTTATCGCGGCGTTTGATGGACTCCTCATCCAACCCGGCGTCGCGGAGCCGCTTCCAAATCGATTCATCAGTCAACGGCGTAGTCAAAACCCTAGCTCCGGAAGACGCACCGGGCGCAGGGGTGACAGGTGTCCCCGGCGTCAAGGCCAATCTGTGGCTCCGCGGCGGCTGCGGACTCGCCATTCCCACCCAATCTCTTCCGATCAACCAAACAAGCTCGGCTCGGCTCCTCCCAAATCCTCAACGATTTCCCAGAACCCAGAAGAACTCTCCTCCGATTTTCTCAATGCAACGCTTTGTGGTTGTGGACTCCACCTCCTTTTTCTCTCTCCTCCTTTTTTTCTCTCACTAAAAATATATTCCTGTGCGCATATAAATGTAGTATGTGAGTGACTCTGCTTCTCTCTCTCTGCTCCTTTTTACCCAGAACCAGAATGGGCCTTTGGTTTTGAACTGAACAACGTTGCAGTGCCCAACGCAACGACGGCGTTTTAGGAAAGTGAATCCGGTATCCGGTTCCTAAATTAGCTGATTCAATTTCAAATTTAAATTGTGATTAATTAATACAGTAAACTAATTACTGCACTGTCGACGTCAATTACGACAAATAAATGTATTTATTTAGAAATTAAGTATACTGCTTTAATTGCTTACCTTCTTGAGAATACTAACTTAAAATTTTTCATCTTTTTGTTTGGAATTTTTATTTTTACCCAAAATTATACTCCTATTATTATTATTAATTAAAATTAAAATTAATTAAATTACATTAATTTAATTAATTAATTAATTACTCCGTAATATAATAGTGGGCATGAATTAATTATTCATAACATGTATTGTTAAGTGATTTGCTGGCAGACATGTGCATCAATTCATCAACACAATTCACTCCCTAAGTCCCTGCTCCACTCAATTTGGTTGTGATTTTAAATTGCTCCATTCTAATTTTTGTTTTTTTAATTGAAATTTTTAACTTCAAAAGCCAGTTTATGTGATAGTGTTATTACTCACTTCTCATTGGGTTACTTTGATTTAGGCCATGTTTGGTAACATAACTTATCAGTTTCGACCTATTTTAATCATTATTAGCTGTTTGATTTGATTAAACAACCAATATAAGTATTTGATTAATTAATTTTTGAAATAGTTAATTGCTCCAAAACGCTAAAATTTAAAAAGCTGTTTAATCAGCTATAAGCTAACAGCTAATTTATTTACCAAACATCTTTTACAATCAGCTAATGCTATCGACTAGTCAAACTCACTAATCCAATCGACTAGTCAAATTCACTAACTCAATCAACTAACAGTTATTTACCAAACACCTTTTAGTAAGTTAAGTTATGAGTAATTCTACATGAACTCTTAAATCATACTCCTATTTTCTACTCCCTATTACATAGCATGCCTTGATTGCTTAATTTAGTAAGGATCATGATATTTATCTATTTTTTGTTCTTCCAATTAAATTTGAACACAAGTGGGAATAAAAGTTTGAAGTACATTTCTTTTAAGTTACTACTAGTTTTTTACGCGCATTGCGCGATTAGGATAATGCCCAATGCTTTTTTGTTAAATAAGTACTTTAAAGTATATTAAGGCAGGATTATATTGAAATTGTTCATGCATAGATAATTGAAGGTTGAATTTGCGTATTTAAATAAGTAATTGAAGGTTGATGTTAATTGTATAGGTATAGTTGAAACCAAATACGGGACATAAGGGAGAACAAATAAAAATTAGGGCATAAAATATTAAATATATACTAATATTGTTTGAGGAGATTCCGACATTAGAATTTGTGGTTAAGTTCTATTAAAGACTTTAATATTAGAATTAGATTAATGGTGTAGTTATAATTCTATATTAGACTTTAATATTAGAATTAGACTAACGATGAATTAACGAAAAAGTTAAATGGATAATCATATAATTAAGGATAAATTAGAAAATCTTAAAAGAAAAAAATTAAAACCTGAACAATATGAACCATTCATTTGATTTAATAATTTGGCGGTCATTTTTTCTACCCAATGTTAATAATTAAATAAATTCGCTGATCAAATCCACTAACGCTAACTGTTAACTACTGATTGTCAAACAAAGACATTGCGAGGTAGTTCTCACTTCAATTTGTTGTGTGATTTGAATACTCCCTTTGTCACAAAATCTTTCAAGTAGTTAATATGGTTGGCTTTATTAATTATATTTTTTAAATTTTTTCATGGTATTAATAAAATACTTGGTAAATAAATATATAGCATTATTTTGTATTATAACTTTGATATTTAATTAGAAAAATAGTGCACAAAAAAGATAATAGATAATGTAGTGAATATAATCAATTGATGAATTTGAATGTAAAAATTTTTACATTTGAGAAAAATTAAGACAATATAACTAATGAAAATATTTCTTTTAATTTTTTTTTTGAATGCATATTTCTTTTAATTAATTTATTGATAATTAATAATTTTTTTTCACTGAATAAAGGCATTGTAAGGACAATGTAGCGAATATAATCAATTAATAAATTTGAATATAAAGAATTTTTATATTGAAGAAAAATAAAGACAATATAACTAATAAAATTATTTCTCTTATTTAATTTATTGATAATGAATAATTCTATTTTTTTGGAATAAAGGCATTGTAGACACATAATTCTAAATTAAAGAAATGCATATGTATTATTTTTTGTTGTAACTACTAAATTATTATTTATATAATTTAATAAGAGTAAAATAGAGTACTAATTATGCCAACTTTGATTGGGATGTGGTTCGAACCTAAGACTTTTTTTTTTATTGAAATCAATGAGTAAGTTAACGGTGAACTAACGGCAATTCTTAAAATTTTAACGGAATTAGTAACGGTGTGTGGGTATTTTAAGAAATTTTAGTGTAAAATTTAAATCTGATCAATCTTTTAATCAATCTGAGCCATTCATTTGATTAAAATCTGTGACCGCCATTTTTTCTACTCATTATAGGCCTAACTCTCTTGGGCTCTTATTAGTATATATATATATATATATATATATATATATATATATATATACAAATATATATATATATGTATATATAGTAGATAGATAGTAGATATTGATTCATTTAAGCTTTACCTATCCCTCGGTCCTTGCCCGTTATAAGTCATTCAAGATTACACAACCGAGAAAATTTCAATTTTGGTCATACAACTATAGGGGCCTTGTTAATTTCAACACCTAACTTTCAAAAATATCAATTCAGTACCTTGAGTATGTAATTTTTCTCAATTTTGGTCATTCCGACCAATTTACCGGTCAATTTCGACCGGAAAAAATAATAGGCACAAAACTGAGGGGCAAATGAGTCTTTTCATCTCGACTGCTTCATCTTCTCCTCCTCCTTCGCCGTGCCGACCACGACCGCCCTGACCAGCCGCGGCAAAGTTCCGACCGAAACAGAAAGGTTTCCTCTTCTTCTTCTTAACGCATATAACCACACACCCTATGGACCCAGACAAGATAAAATCTGTTACCTGACTTACATTTTTGTAATTTTCCTGTTGGGCAATATGAGACCTGCTAATAGGCTTCCTTCGAAATGGATTGTCGTCGGAGAAGATCGATGCGGTGGTAGCATTCGCCGAGACTTCTCCAAACTGGTGTTGGAAAATGCTGGATGAATCAGAGTTTGGGGTAACTTTTTCGCTTTCTTTGTCGTGTAGTTTCTTCGATTTCTTGGCCATTACGGATTTTTGGTTCGGAATTGGATAGAGTAAAAATCCACTTTCATGGCCACCGAAGAGCTCGACGGCGTGGACGAAGCGGGCACGAAGGGTGCTGATCCAACGCATTTTGAGGGCCGCATGCTCTGCTTTACAGAAAGCTTAGGGAGAAATGTCGATCTCATCATCATCATCATCATCATCATCATCATCATCATCATCATCCCGTGAGAAGCTGTTTTTGCGTCTTGGTCCTTCGCTAAGAGATTCTTCAGCTGCGCCGCCACCCGTCAATCCCGTCGCCGTGTTCCTCCTCTAGATCCCTGACGAAACCCATCGTTATCCCGCTAGCCTCGCCGGACAAGCTCTCCCCTGATCCTCTTTCCGATATCTACTCCGACCAACCCAACATCCCTCTCCGGAACAATATCTACCCCTGTACCCTCTGCGGCGAGATTTTCCTCGCCACCAATCTTCTCGAGCAGCACCAATTCATAAAGCACGCGATTTCGGAGCTCGTTGATGGAGATTCCGGCAACAACATTGTCCAGATCATATTCAATTAGGAGCAGAGCATGAAAAGACTCATTTGCCTCTCAGTTTTGTGCCTATTATTTTTTCCGATCGAATTTGACCGGTAAATTAGTCGGAATGACCAAAATTGAAAAAAATTACATACTCAAGGTACTGAATTGATATTTTTAAAAGTTAGGTGTTGAAATTAACAAGGCCCCTATAATCGTATGACCAAAATTGAAATTTTCTCTTACACAACATATTTAAAATCATCTGCGAATCATGGAAGCATTGAGGTAAAGAGGCTTCAATGGCGGCGACGATGTTGAGGATTGAGGAGGCACGTTGAGTGGTATGTCAAAGATTAAGGTGGACATGTAGGGCCCCCATCTGCCATTGTTGTGCTGCAACCCGAGGCGGCAAGCCATGAGCCATCAACTAATTTTCGCCCGTTAACCCCAAGTCCCTAACGATCATCTCAAAATCAGCCATGGCTAAGATTGTCAACTCCAGGGACCCACCCACCCACCCACCTAACTTCATAAACTTTTAAACGCAACGAATCATTTCCGTGGGAGTAGAGAAAGAAGAAATCCAACGGGAAGCCAAAAAAGATAAGAAGAGTAAAAAGGACATGTAGCAGTTTCATTATTCAAAAAACCCAAAAAAAAAAAAAATGAAGATATTTTTCAATCCCAACTTTGGTTAAGTAATGAGTACGGATTACTTTCTAACTACTATTTGCAACTCAAGTAATTATAGTCATATATATTAACCCCATAAACCTTTGTACCCATCACATGCAATGTTGTCTAACTCATTCTTCATGTAATATGCTCTAATCTTGATTCGGTAAACCAACGTTATCCAAGAAAGTAGCTTTATGACGCTAACCAACAAAGAACTATAACATGTAAACCAGCTTAGGTTAGTCATAACTAGCTCCAACAGGAAATCAAACTTTAGAGATAAGAGAATGTAATATTGGGTATACAAAATCACAGAAAGTAAATGCTTTATTAAACTGACCTTTAGACTGCTTATCTGCCATTGCCCAAGTCAAAAACTTGTCTATCCAGAAGACATTTAAAGAAAATTGCTAACCAACATATAAATTAGCAAATACATACCAAATCTGTTTCGTATACAGAGCTATGAAAATTTGCACACCCAAAATCTTAAAACATCAATGTATGCTTTTCCATCTGTATGGCAAGGGAGAGGGGTACAAATAACAGAGACATACAATCTCAACATATATAAATAAATACCAATTCACTTGCAATATTTATCCTGCAGAATGACACTAATGCGTGTAACAAGTAAGCATGTAATGCGCATTCTTGGACAAAACCTTGATTGCTTGCAGTCACTATGCCTGATCTGCAACCTCACCTAGCATGTTCATCTCTGGTTAATCATAGTCAGTAGCAGAAAATGCCCAAAGAATGCAACCATTCAGTGTTGTGACCATTCGATACTCTTAATGTCAATACCCTCCTTAACCATCTCATAAAGGGGGCTCATTTCCCTCAATTTCTCGACTTGGCGCACTGTAAGCCCCACCGCTCTATCAATCTCTTCCTCAGTAGTGAACCTCCCAATTCCATATCTAATCGAGGTGTGCGCCATGTCTTCTTCAACCCCCAATGCCCTCAACACATAAGAGGGCTCCAAGCTTGCACTGGTGCAAGCACTCCCACTCGACACTGCAACCTCCTTCAGTCCCATCAACAAGCTCTCGCCTTCAACATAAGCAAAGGACAGATTCAAGTTCCCTGCATAACGCCTTTCTACACTCCCATTCACCACTACTCCATCAAGCTTAGCCCTTATCCCATTCAGCAGCCTCTCCTGCAAAGCCTTGATCCTCTTATCATCATACTCCATTTCCTTCATGGATAACTCACAGGCTGCTCCAAACCCCACTACTAATGGAGTGGGCACTGTCCCGCTCCTAATCCCTCTCTCCTGTCCACCCCCATTCATCTGGGGCTCAACCCGAATCCTCGGTCTACGCCTCATATACAGAGCTCCAACACCTTTAGGCCCGTAGATTTTGTGCCCGCTTAACGACATCAAACTTATATTCATCTTGTCTACATCGATTGGAATCTTCCCCAGAGCTTGGGCCGCATCGGTATGGAAAGGCACATTGAATTCTTTGCAAATTTTTCCGATTTCCTCAACGGGTTGAATAACCCCAATCTCGTTATTCACCATCATGACCGAAACCAGGCCTGTGTCGGGCCGAATCGCCGCCCTGAGCTTGTCTAGGTTAATAAGCCCGTCGGGTTCAACGGGAAGGTAAGTAACATCAAAGCCCTCTTGCTGCAGATGGCGGCACGAATCAAGTACGCACTTGTGCTCAGTCTGTGTGGTGATGACGTGGCGCTTCTTCTCCCTGTAGAAATGCAGAACGCCTTTAACGGAGATGTTATTGGATTCAGTAGCACCGGAAGTGAAGATAATCTCCTTCGGAGAAGCGTTAATTAGGGTCGCAACTTGCGCCCGGGCCGTCTCGACGGCCTGGTCCGATTCCCAGCCGTAGAGGTGAGTCCGAGAGTGAGGGTTCCCGAATCGCGAGAGATAATAAGGGAGCATGGCGTCAAGCACACGCGGATCCACCGGAGAAGTGGCCTGCATATCCAGGTAGAGAGGTCTTCCGGAGATCTTCACTCCTTTCATGGTGACTCCAGCTGTTTCTTCCTCATAGGGCTCTACTCCCGCCGCCGCCGCAGCAGAGGTCGAAAAAGGGCGGAGAATGGCGTAGGGTTTATCAAACGAGCGGCGGAAAACGGCGGCTAGAAGCTTCGAGGCCATCGTTATGAATCAAACAATTATGCTCCGATGAAGAATCGACTCTTTAACGCCGACGAGTTGATTCTAAACTCAAATAACAGTTCGCGAAACCCTAGAGAAACGGTGAAATTGGAAAGGGATGACGAGAATCACCGACTGTGATATAAGCTAGCTACCCTAAAACAAAGCACACGTGGCTACGATATAGCCTCTTTTTAAAAAAAAAAAAGATTTTAAAAAAAATTATTGTCACAGGGTATCTTGGCTTGTGACCTTAATTAATTCACATTAATAAAAACTAATAAGCACAAGTGGCTTATTGTATACTAGTATCGGATGGTTCCCTTATGTGGGAGGTCTAGGTTCTCCCTACTAAGTCAATAGCTTTATAGTCTAGTGTACGAAGTGACTCTTTCAAATAATAAGTCAAGTAGCTATGAACAGATATTACATTAAAAAAATAGCTCAATGACCAAACACATTATCAAGTAGGGAAGATTTAAAATTCAGTAATTGGAAATTTCTAAAAATTTCCAGAAATTGAAAAATAGGAAACAGAAAACATGTTTACTAAGACAATTTTCTATTTTGAAAACTGAAAATAATTTCTGAATATTTCTAAAAAACTGGAACACACTTAAAACTGTTTTCGAAATGAAAAACAAAATCATAACCATATTACTATGATTACATTCATTATCATCTTATTTTATTTATTACTATCTTCTATCTTTTCTACTTTTTTCATATACTTTCTCAAACTACTGAAACACAAAGAACCAATAACACCTCCATTGAGGCTTGAACTCATAACCTTCCAAATGGAAGTCCAACTCGGGTACCATTAGACCACATAGTCTTGGTCTATCTTTTCTACTTAATTTACTTATTTAAACATAATTTATTTGCTTACACTTTACAGGGTGTTTGGTTGGAGGGATTTTAAATTCCCTTCCCACTTAATTCCTACCTAATTCCAAAGGTCATTAAATTCCGTAGTTTGGTTGGAGAGAATTGAAATTCCATGGAATTGCAATTCCCCCATTTTCATGGAATTAAAATCCCATGTCCCCCATAGTATTTTAATTCTTGGGAAAAAAAGATAATGATGAGTCAACATTACCCCTTCCTTTTTTAACTTAAAATTAATGTCTAACAACAATAATGGACATTTTTGACTTTATACTACTTATTCCCTTTCAATTCCCATGTATACCAAACATTGGATTGAAATTTCCAGTAATTCTATTCCTGTCAACCAAAAACTGGAATTTAAATTCCCACTTTATTCTCAGTAATTCAACTCCCATGGAATTACAATTCATTTCCCACATAATTCCCCCTTCCAACCAAACGCCCTGTTAAAGTAAGACATTATTTACATTATCAAAATTAATAATTAAATTATATATAATGTTTTAGATTTTGATTGAACTCAATGGATTATTAGTTTGAATATTTTTAATTAAGTTACATCATAATATAAGTTCGGTCCAAATATCGAGTATTGAAATCTCACATATATTAGAATTCAAAGTAAAAGTTACATATACATATACATATTCACGTCATTCTAATGAATATATCCAAAAAAAAAAATTTTTAAATATTAGCTCAAAAAATATTAATATTATCTAAACTAAATTAAAGGTGAAAATGAAAAATTAAAAAACAAAAACATATAACAGTTTTTTGTTAATAAATAAGTTTTCTAAACAGAAAACATAGACTGAAAAACATAAAACAGATAACAGCTTTCTGTTAGTAAACGGACCCAAATTTTTGATATATTTCAAAAAAAAAAAAAAAAAAAAAAACCAATGACATTCAAAAAAAAAAAAAAAAAAAAAAAAAAAAACAAACAATGACATTCAAACGGACCCAAGTTTTTGTCATGCACTACTACTGGAGTACAATGTGACTATCATAAATGACATGCAGAGCTTTCATAATGTAATATCTGTTCATAGGCTTTCCGGACGGAGAAGTCGAGGGGCACGCAGAGCTTTCCGATCGGATGGCCGAGACATCTCCGCAACACACGTCATCTCTCGCCTCAATTGGTCGCGATGAAGAGACGACCTCAGACTTACCATCTGATTATCGGATTTTGGCCATTTGACGTAGCCTGAGAATTTTCGCGAAGAACACCGGAATTAAATTTACTATCTCGCCTTCTCGACACCAATTCGGAGACTAGCATCACGGTGAAGGAAATCAAAACCAATCCATGGCTCCGCAAAGAGTACAACTAAACGCATTCGATCTAATCTCCTTCTCATATCGGCATCCACTTGTTCCGTCTATTCGGTACTCACAGCGGCATCGACGACACCGAGCGGGTTCTATCGGCCGAACCGAATGATCGATAAAATAGTCTACGGTATAGAGAGGATAGCTAGGGCGGAGGGATTGATTGCAAAACGACATTAGGTAGAGCAAAGTGCTGATAACGTGTTAAATAAAGAAAATGCAAGTAAGGATCGGATAAGAAGGAATACAAGAGAATAGAGAGTGAAGACAGGTATTCTCATTCATACTTAGCCATTCTTATGGCAAGATATATATACAAAGTAAGAATAAATATGTACTAAATAGAAATAAGTACATCAGTTACAACGTAGCTGTTACAACATGGATAATAATGTCTACAATAATATTTATAACAAGTAATATTAAAAAAAAAATAGTAATAAACATAATAAAAACATCAATAAAGTAAATCAATTTAAATTGTTAATAATTGATCGGTTTTAATAATAATAATAATAAAAGCCTTTGTTTATTTCTATGCGTACGACGTCGTCGTACTAGCCGTGATACGCATAAATACGAGTATACGACATCGTTGAGGTGCCGCCAACAGAATCTAAGGAATACGCGCGCTAAAGCGCGTTCAAAAACACAAAACACTCTAAAATAGAAAAAAATCGAATCTTGAAATCTTGAATGCATTTGTCTGTACACCATCCATATTTACAGAGAGTGAGAGGGACACTCAAGCAGATCTACTCCGAAAATCTACTTCCCACAATCCCACCGACAAACCATTTCCGCACTACATGTTTAGCACTGTCTATAACTAGAGCCCACATTGGTGTAATATTGCATTACCACTGCTTATTTGCTATTAAGGTTCTTGATTGAGAGTGTACCTTTTCTTCAAGTGTAATTATGGGCTTAAACTAGTATAAAAGAGGCTACTTTCTGCATCACTGAAACAAGGGATCCAAAAGGCTTGCTTCATCGTGTTTATGGTATGCCTTGCTTTTCTCCAACTTTCTGTGTCTCTTTTGCATTGTTGAGAATTCCCCATGGTTGCTTTTTTATCTGGTTAATGCTTGCAGGTATTGTTCTAATAGGGAAGATGTTGATTTGTTTGGTTTAAGTGTTTTAACTCCAGTGTGTGTGGATGATTGGATTGATTTTTTGTGATAAATTTAGGGAATTTTGTGATTTTTGCCATGTTTATTGCGGATACTAGGCATTGCTTCCACTTTCCTCTAAAAGATTAAATCTTTTCCCTGTTTCTGTTTCATGTATGATTTGCTTTTTCTTTGGATTAGATGGTTGGCTGCTTGCTTGTTGATATCTGGAATGAGATCATCAGATTTCTTGGTCGACCAAGTTTTAATGTTTTTTCTAATTGTCTCCTAACTGTTATAACTAGTTGGATCTGGTTGAGATAGCCGGATAGGTAGTTGTTCTGTCAAACTTCAGATATTCCCTTCCCATACTGTCCTGTACCTTCTTCTCATTGCTGGTAGTTCAATTCTCCAGTTTTCCATTTTCTCTCAAGTGATGGAGAGAAATTCACTATGTAAACCCGCCTTGTGACCCTAACTGGCAAAGAACCACAAGGAGGTAAACCAGTATGGATTGACTATATCTGATCGGCTCAAATCAAGAAGACTGTAACTTTTTAGTTACCAAATCAATAGTTTGATGAACTTGGTTGGGGTTGCCCATGTTGGTTTTGTTTGGATTTGATGTGTCAAGTTCTCAAGTTCCCTATTGATATGTTCTTGATCTTCTTTCTGTCCAAACATCTTTGTGTTTACATTTGTTGCCTCTCAGTTATCCACTTTGGTTTTCGTTTCATTTCTGCATTACATTGAAGCATCTGGTATGTGCCTTTTTTCTGTTTGCCATGATGTAATCGATCTGCGCTTTTATTGGACCATGAAGAGCTTGCAGAGAGCTGAAGCTTCTCCAGAAGGCAGATTCAACGTTGCCACGTAGTTAGGATTCGAAGAAGTCATCATGTTGAGGAACCAGAAAAGCAAAGGCTTCAAGGTGAAGCATGCTCTTCAGATATGTGTACTGGTAGGCGTTTGCATTTGGCTGCTTTACCAAGTCCAGCACTCCCGCGATAAGAAAGCAGCCTTAGAAACAACGAGGCTCTCTGAGGAGGTCGAGAGTGGGAATAGCTTCCTCAAGTTGGGGCGTAAGGACCTGGAACCTCAAATGGAGGAGGAAAGTAATGAAGATGTGAAGAACGAGGAGCCAGACGAAGAGGAGAGCAAGAGTTTTGGTGATGAGAGTAATTCTACCGAGCTTGAGCAAGGAGGTGATGGAGGAGGGAAAGAGATGGAAGAAAACAGCAATGAAGGAGATGCAAAAGCAGAAGATAATTCGGAGGTGGAGAGCCAGGAGAATGGTGAAGTTGCTAAAGATGGTAGTATGGAGGAGAAGGAAACTTCAGAGGAGAACAGGCAAGATGGCGATAGAGAAGAGCAAAGTGGAAGCGAGGGTGAGAGGAACACAGAACAAGAAGACGGAGAGAAAGAGAGGGCTGAAAACGATATCCAAGAAGTGACTCAGGAGAATAATGAGATTGGAAATGAAGATGGGACTGTGAAAGAGGCTAAAGAGGAAAACGGTAGTGAAGAAGAAAATTCGGGAAGCAAAGATGAGAATGCAAGTGAGGAGACAAACGAAAACGGAGGTGAAGAGAAGGAAGTTCATGTTGAGGAAAATAATGAAAGCCATGCCGGGGAGAGTGAAGAAACGAAAAATGGAGATGTCGAAGAAAAAAATGAGGTCAACAAAGAAGGCGAAGCAGAAAATGTAGAGAGTGCATCAGATAATGTGGTTCAGGCCTCCCAAAATGAAAGCGAAACTGAAAAAGGTAATGAGGAAAAAAACGAACCCGAGGAGAATAGAAGCCAGAACGAGTCAGGCTCAGATTCCACAGAAGGAAACACCAATGCAGAAAATAACACTGAAGCCACTGGAAATACTTCCAATTCAGACGACAATTCCAACTCTACAGAACCAAAAACAGAAACCAATGAACAGCAGCAAGAGAATGATAACTCTACCCAAGCTGAAAATGGATCTGTCCATTCAGAGGGTAATCAACAGCAGCAAGAACACGATAACTCAATTCAAGAAGTCGTTCCTGGCGGGGATAGCTCAGAAACCTCTCCACAACAAACTGAGAAAAACACCAATGCTTCCACTAAAGAAAACTCCGATTCAGATTCAGATTCAACTACTTCAGCTGAAAGTGACGACACAGGCTCAACTGTGGGGAAAGAGAGTGGCGAGGCCTCATCAACCGAGCAGTCAGACCCAAATTCTGGTTCTGAAGAATCAGTTAAACCCTCAAATGACGACGAAAACAAAACAGATTCTTCAAGCTCCCAAAACGAAGATTCAGCCCAAAACTCCACTCAAGATGATGTACAACACAACCAAGATGAATCATCCAATTCAATTCCTCGAGAAGAGAAAGATGCCCGTACAGACGTTGAGACATTGCCAGAGACAGGAAGCGAAGGAAACAACGAAGAAGATGCAGCGGCCAAGGAGTAAAAGATGAAGTTTATTCACTTGAAGGCTGTAGTTGTAAGTCCTGTATTCTTTTCCTCACCCCTTACTCTAAAATGGTAAATACAATATATGCTGCTTGCTAGGCAGTGTCAAGCCACATTGTATAATTATTATAGCTTATAACATTGCACAAAAGAACTAAGTTACACTTTTGATGTCTTTGAATTCTTTGTATGAAGCTCTTATTATCCGTTTCGTTTTGTTACGATAGTTGTCATGAGTTGTTTATGATCTTATTCAAGGTTTTAGTGACTGTTTAATAGAAGAAACATTTTTAGTTAACTTTATGGGCCGACCTAATTAAGGGGCAAAGTGCTGGTCAGATTGGTTAGGGGACAAAAGTGCACGATCACTCACGCCAACCAACTGGTTAGTCAAATAACTAGTTTGATAAGTATAAAGTTTCAAATTAAATGTTTCATCAAAGTTGTACCTTTTTAATTTGACAATCAGCTCTGGGGGTAAGGATAACTTAGGCAGCTTTATCTTATTGTGGTCCTTTATCAATTAGGATCACATGATAACCTTCACCTAGAACACACATTCGACTAGTTATTGTGGACTTTTTTTTTTTTTTTTTTTTTTTTTTTTTAAGCAAAGAATCGTTTATTGAGGAATAGTTCGGCGGGCAGCAAACCCCCTGTAATCATACAAGAGAGCCAATTTGGCTTTGGTAGGCAAAGCATTAAAGGAGCGAAAGATCCAGGGAGTATTAGCGACCAAGCCTTCTGCCGCAAGGGATCTGCTACGCTGTTTGCTTCCCGATAAGCATGTTTAATCACTGCACCCCAAGCCGCAACGTACGTCCGGATGTAAAACATAGCTTCTTGGAGTTTCCATGGCATCGCGTCCGAAGAGGAGGCCAAACGGACAAGCTGAAGAGAGTCTACTTCAATGATATATGGCCGTAACACCATAGTGTCGCACCATTGTAGGACTTTTCGCAGAGCTAGCACTTCAGCCTCAAGAGCGGAAGAGACATCCAAACGGAAGCAGATTCCAGCAACCAACAGGCCCCGAGAGTCTCGAAGACATGCCCCACCCGCCGCACCAACTGATGAAAGGAGAGCATCGGTGTTAAGTTTAAGACGTCCTGATGGTGGCGCTAACCACTTGACCCACTGTGTCATACGCCGCGGAGGGATAGCAAATCTTGTAATCAAGCCTTCAGCTTGAAGACAAAATCCAAATGCTCCCATGTTGCGAGGTGGACAGGCTAAGGAGATGAGATAGGATTCCCTTTTGATCTTCCTAATAACTTCTGAAGACGAGTACCTAGACCCATTGTAGAGGCAATCTGTGTATGCCACCCATAAGAACCAGAGAATAAGGCAAGGCAACAAGCATGAAAAGCTTCCCACCGCGGAATCTGGAGCAGCCAGGAGCCACCATGCATGACAGGCAGTACGAATGGTGGATGAGTTGCCCATATTTAATCCGGATAATCTGCTGAAAAAAGTCCACACTCTCTGTGCTTCGTTACAGCCAAACAGACAATGCTCCAGGCTTGCACTTGCAGCAACACAAAACGGACAAACAGAAGGCACACAGTAACCAAATCTCTCAATGACATCAGGGAAAGGCAGGAGCCTCCTCAGTAGCTTCCACATAAAAACTGAGATTTTAGATGGAATAAACCTTCCCCAAATGCTGGCCGACGAAAGACAACGTCCCCTCTTCGGTCGCAAAAAATCGTAGGCTGAGGACAGAGTGAAGTCCCCATATGTAGATGGAGCCCAGATTATGGATTCTGCAAATGACACGAGATTATCCTCCACAAAGGCTTTCATGGTCCACATCCTGCGCCGTATTAACGAATCTGAAGCCCTCACGTTTTCATCTGGGTAACGAGCAGTCATGAACTTGCTCTAGAGACTTCCCCCCCAACAAGAAGCTGTAGTAGATCTTGGCCGAATAAGCTTGTTGTATGGTGTGCAGATTTCGGACTCCAAGGCTTCCCTCGACCGTAGGCAAGGAAATATTACCCCATGAAGCCTAGTGCCTTTTCGGGCGGCCATCACAGGTTCCCCAGAAGAACCGGGCGAATTTAGATTCCAAAGCCTTTTCTGTTTAGCGAGGAAGGAGTAAATAAGCCATCGTGTATTGTGGGATCAAAGATAAGACATGCTTTATTAGAGTAAGACGGCCCCCGGGTGATAGAAGCTTTCGCTGCCAACCTGCTAGTTTCCTGTCCACCTTCTCTAGGAGATGCTGGTAATAGCATGGCCTGTTGCGCCCTTTAAACAAGTTCACTCCCAAGTAGCGAAACGACAAAGAGGAACGTTGCATGCCTAGTAACCGTGACATTGTCGCGGTCCTTTGGCTAGAGCAGTGCTTAGAAGTTACAAAAAAGCTTTTGTTGTAGTTGATTTTCTGACCGGACCCTGCCTGATAATCCTTCAAGAGCTTCGATAACTCCTTTAACGAATTCGATGAGCCATTAACTAGGATGATGATGTCATCTGCGAAGGCCAAGTGGGAGATTAATGGACACTGCAACCCGAGGAATATGGGGAAATCAATCCTGTACCCACTTTTAGAACCAGCGAACGTGACAAAGCCTCCGAAGCAAGTATGAAAAGAAGGGGTGATAGCGGATCCCCTTGTTTTACACCCCTTGTCGGTTGAAAGAAGCCACAGCTGACCCCGTTGACCAAGACGGATAACCTTGTAGCTTCCAGGTTGTTCAAGACTAATCCGATAAACCCGGGTGGGAATCCAAACCTGATAAGGGCTGCCTTTAAAAAAGGCCACGAGACCCGGTCGAAAGCCTTCATCATGTCCAACTTAACTACAACATTTGAGCCCCGGCATCTCTTATCAATATATTGCAGGAGCTCAAAGGCTAGCAAAACATTGTCATGTATACTGCGCCCTTTAACAAAACCAGCCTGCTTACTCGAGATTAGCTTCGGCAAAATGGGACTCAGACGGCTTGCAAGGATCCTAGTAAAAACTTTGCTGATGAAGGTGCAAAGATAAATCGGCCTAAAGTCCGCAAACGTGTCTGGATTATTCCTTTTGGGAATTAGCACTATTTGTGCACTGGCTAGTCCTCGTGGAATCGGAACGCCTGCAAAGAAGTCCAAAGTTGCTTGATAAACATCTTCATGGATAAATTCCCAACAGTGTCTGAAAAAGGATCCATGAAACCCATCCGGACCGGCTGCACTGTCAGGGTCGAGCATCCACACGGCCTTTTTAACCTCTTCCCGCGATATCGGCGAGGTCAAAGCGATCACATCTGAATTTTCCAAGCAAGGCGGAAGACACATCAAAAGGGAATCCATACCGGGGCAATTTTCGGCCGTGAATAGGCTGGAGTAGTACTGGACTGCCTCCGCTTGAATTGCCTCAGGGGTCGACAAAATAGAACCCGAGCTATCCTTGATGGAGTAAATGGCCTGCCTTCGATGTCGATATTTAACCATCGCATGAAAGAAACGCGTGTTCGCATCCCCCTCCCTAAGCCATTTGATCTGTGCTTTCTGCTTCCAGTAGGCATTTTCCTGTTTGAGAGCAAGCAAGAGGTTTGCTTGGAGCTTATGGAGGGAGGTTCTGTTTTCAGCTGATGGAGAGTCCTCATAAAGTCCTTCTGCTTCTGTCACAGCAGTCTCCAAATTACGAACCCGGTCAAAAACATTCCCGAAAACCTCTTTGTTCCACGATTGTAGGGCTTGTTTAAGGCGTTTAAGCTTGAAGGCCAAAGCACGCATGCCACCCCCATCTGCAGGCTCGGCCCAGTTGGCCCGTGCGAAATCTAAGAAGTTGGGATGGGTTTTCCACATATTTTGAAAACGGAACTGCTTTGGAAACGTCAAAGCGTTGTTCGACCCATTAAAGAGCACGGGGGAGTGATCAGATGAGGTACGACCAAGCACAGAAATTCGGATACCCGTGAAGTAATCCCACAAAGTCGAGTTCATTAAGAAGCGGTCTAATCTTTTCCAAACTGCCCCTGCGCTACGAACCCCGTGCCAAGTGTAAAGACCTTCGGTTGTTGCGAGGTCGAGTAGGCCATTATCGTTAATAAAATCAGAGAAATCTGATATGCTGCCCAGGTCTGGAAATGCATTGCCTCTGTACTCAGAGATGCTCGAAATCACGTTGTAGTCACCGCCCATAAGAGTAGGACTGTTTACATTTAGTCCTGTTGCAAGTTGTGCTCATAGCTGTGCCCGTTCCAATCTAGTATGCTTCGCATAGATAGCTATGTAGTCAAAGGTAAACTGCCAGGGGGAGTAGCAAGCAGTACAAGAGATAAATTGTTCACAATCCTGGTCAATATTTATTTGTAAAGAATCACTCCATAGTAACCAAATTTTTGAATTTTCTTAAGCATAGCCACCTGCAAAGTTAAACTCTTACATGTAACTGTGCAAACGATCAACTGGTAAAAAAGGTTCAATTATTGTGACCAAATGGATGCCCTCACGGCGAATTATTCGTTTCAGCCTGCGCCGTGAGGTGATGAGGCCTCTAACATTCCAGATGAGCAGATTCATTTGAGACGGTGAGAGAAGGATACTCGAGCGATTTTCCCCGCAGCTAGTCGGGTGGTTACTGAGGGGGTATTTGCAGAGTAGTCTTTCTGAGGCCGACTCTTTTTCTTGGTTACTGTTATATAGTCATCCGGGCGCGATCTCCTAATCTTGGAGGCAAAAACTTTACTCGCTTCCTTCCATGACTCTAGCAAGGATTTTGAGAAGCTTTGAGCTTCGGAGACTTCATCACCCTCCGATAGATGTCCTGGCTGGGAGTCTGAACGAGATGAGGAGCGGACACCATGATCGTCAATGAGAACTGGCCCAAGCGAGGCGTTGGCATCTGGGATGAACTCTGGTAACGCAGAGCTCCCTGAGTCATTCAAAACTGGTTCAGTTGGTGCATTTGCAGAAACGTTGTCTTGGGGTTCAGCTATCAAGTTCTCAACTGGTCGCCAGCGTTTTCTAGGAGGAACAATCTGAGGTTGACGGGCAGGTAGAGTGATTGTTTGCGGGGGATCCTTAGGGGGTTCCCGATATGGTTCTTGCGGGCGATCATCAACGTGGTTGCTTCTACAATCTGACGAAAGATGCCCAAATTTTCGACATCCCATGCAATATGGTGGGATGTATTCATATGTTACTTTTTGAGTGAATCCACCGTAAGATCCAATTGTGATCCAGACCTGATTCGGAAGGCTTTGGCTAACGTTCAACTCTACACAAACCCTGGCCAACGACGGTCTGTTGTGCAAAAGAGTTGAAGAATCCACCTTGAGCGGGGTTCCTATGAGGTTGGCGATCGAGTAAATAGCCCTTTTATCCTGCAGGTGAGCCGGAAGTCCATCGAAAGCAATCCATACAGGAACGATTGGGGATTCTATATCTGGTCTGAAGTCCGGTGACCATTTAAAGATCCTCATGATGAAGCCTCGAACTGACCAAGATTTTCGGAGCCAACACCTCTGAAAGTCAGTCTCTAGATCAAAATTGATGAGTACATGCCTTTGATCTAGAAGACCGAGTGAGAACGCTCCACCAAAGCCAATCTGATCGAAAGTCTTACGAAGCTCAGCCATAGATGGACGTCCTTTAGAAAATTTACCCACCAGCGCAAAACGGAATTTCTGAGAAAATTGCTGTATGTCTTGATCTGTGAAAGAAATCGCTGGCATTCCTTTTCTATCTTCCTGGTGTTCGTAGGGGGGGATCAGAAGAAGTTTTCGAAAGAACATCTGCGAACGTGCGTGGTGGGGGCTCGGCGGCCCCCGGCGGTGCCGCCATCGGAAACGAAAAAGCGTCAAAATAGCGGAGGATTTGTAACTAACTGAGAGAGAGCATTTCTATTCAAGTTTTTCTCTTTTTAGTTATTGTGGACTTTCTCTTAAATTAAAAAATAAAAATAAAAATAAAAATCTATATATAATTTTTTTTTTTGGGTTGAAATTGTGTGTACAATATATATTAATGAAGTTAATACTAGAAATAATCTTCCGACTATAGAAGAAGCATACATTTCTAACATTTTGCCCTATAGTTTATCAGAAAACTTATTGAATGACTAAATTAAATTAGCTAACAATGCATGCATATTCAAACACTTAAACCGGCCTAATTAGAAGTTGATTACCACTTTTAGCAATTCAAAATAGTTGAAAGATGATACAATCAAATAATCAATGAATTTTTATTACAATCATCTATGAGTAAGCCATTACAACAAACTATAAAAACCAAATACAATTATTTTCAAGCAAACAATGACTAATCACCCTTAAAAAAAAAAAAAAAAGTAAAGAAAAGAGGAACAACATAAATATTTAAATAAATATAATTTAATCTAAGCAATTTAAAGCGTTGACTTTATTTTTGAAATAACGACGTCTCGACATTTATATTGGACTCAATTCATTTAATAATATAGTAAAATCATGCACATTATAGCGGGAATCTTTATTTGATAATCTACAAAATCCAGATACATAAAATCTTAATCTTAATTGAGATACTAGAAAATCGTGCATCAAAAAAGATTGACATAGACCATAAGTGGAAGGAATATAACGTACACGACTACTCGCAAGTCGCAATAATTTTGATTTAGAGAGAGAAAAAAAAACACATCAATTATTTAAATGTGTGTTTTGAATAAAACTTCCTTTATAACTCTAATTGACAAAAGACTGAAAAAAGGTAAATCAATATAAATCATTCATATGATCATCTCAAATAAAAAACTTGATACTTTATAATTACTAAATTAACTATCTCACTACAATCACAATAGCTGAATATATGCAATCTTGCGTGGGAATCAAACACAAGATGCCAAATGACCCCCTTAGAAAGCGGAAACAAACTGATCTGAATATCTGATGCAACACTTGACCTTAATCTTCTTTGTCCTTCGCCACATGTGACGACTGGACTATTTGTAATTTGTCTATAACTAATTTGTTTTTTTTTTTTCTTCCAGAAAACTAATTTGTTAAATCTTACGATGATTAGATGGCTCCATGCATTATGCATATTTTTTTGTTTGGATTTACGTGTAATCATCGATAGCCTGCCTTTGAGAATGTCTCCAAGACCATTTCTTCGCCCATAAATTAAGGCCTCCAATTTTTTTAAAAACCATATATTAATTCCAGTTATTAGCAAGAATTAAGGATTAAGTAATGGAAATTGGAACGAAGCCATTCTTATTAGCAAGAATTAAGGATTAAGTAATGGAATAAAGCCAAGTCAGATGACATCTCTGTGACTCTCCTTGAGGGACCTCTTTGTGATTCCCCTTGAGGGACCTGTGTGACTACTCTCGAGGAAAGGTCACAAGATCGAACCTCGGTGGTAGGGTATTGACTCATTGGATTGCATATAAAGTATAGAACAAATACTACCTTGTAATAGAGTCAATAATATTCAAAAAAATAAAAAATAAAAAACAAAATCAGAAAGTAATGGAATGAAGTTTACGCTCCATTAAATCAAGAAAATGATATATTTTGTCCACATTAATTCAACAATTCAAGGAAATTTAGAGTCTAGTGTACTATGTCAGTGACTTCGAGCCTTAGTAAAGACAATATTGACTCTTTATGTTTCAAAATTGTAAAAAGTGCAGTGTATAATCTGGAATATTTTACAATCCGTCAATCCCATTTTCAAGATTTCTAAACAAATATTTTACATTCTCCAAGATTGGAGTGTAGGAGCCCTTAGGGTTGGGGTTCAGCCTTTGAAAGTAGATTTCTAAACAAATACCAGGATTAAATTCCCTCAAAAATATATAAAAACTAAAATAAACCTAAGAAGTTAAATATTCTATTCTTCTCTTCTGTATCATAATATTTACTAAGAATCACAACCAGGTTAAGTAATTTGAAGATGAAGAAAGTCTAATTGGATGATAAATTGTTTGTTTGAGGATTGATTATATTGTTGATTGGAAGTTATATTGTTTTAATCGAAACCGGCGGCGGCTGTACAATGAAAGTCGAAGCAAGATCGTTGAAGATCAGGGAAATCATCGTCCGGCGATCCAAGCGAGTCCACCACATCTTCTGTGCTCCACCCTGCACGCAATAAAGTCTTAGATAACGACCTCACGTGCCACGCCACGCATTCCCGGTCAGTGATCATCTCACCGTTCGTTTTATCATGATCATGATCTCCGCCGTCCATCATCATCATCTCCCTCACGTCCTCCTCCTTCCACCCGCCGTTCAGCAACCGCCGCGCCACCTCCTCCAAACACCCGTCCAATTCCTCGCCCCACCGCCGCAGTCCATGAAAGCCGCCATCGCCGCCGCCACCGGCCGCCTCCACCACCTCCGTCCAAAACTCAATCCTCCGCGCCTCCGTCGCCGCCCACGCCGGCGCATTCAGCAGATTGGAGAGGCTAGGCAGGCGCAGAGCCGCCTCATCGCGCCGCCTGAACTCCACCCGTTGGAAAAATCCGGCCAGGTCGAAGCTCCACACCTTCACCTCCCCGCCATGCACGTAAAACACGGGATTCCCCGCCAAACACGGCGCCGAAGGAATGTAAAAATGCCGGTAAATCGGCACCAGAATCGGAACCATTCTCAAAAAACCCTTCGCCAAAACCACCGCCTTATCGCTATCATCCGGCCGTTTCCCCCACGAATCCATCCAAAACTTCCGCCGCGAAATTTCCTTACACAAACCTAAGATCGGCAGATTGGTTTGAACCTCGAGCTGCTGAGCCGACGCCGATCGCCAGTTGGGGAAGCCGGGGCCCACGGGGAGCCCTTCCCGGAGGATGGAGCTGAGGTCAGGCGGGAAACTGAAACTAAAATTGGATTCAACGGCGGAGATTTCAGCGTCGGAAAGCCCTCCCTCCACCGGAATATCCAACGACTTGAGATGGTCGATGATGTTCTTCGCATACGCCGCATAAGAGAAACAAACCCTTCCTGGTTTCGGATTGCTAAAGGTCACGGGGGCAAATAATGATTCTGCTAAAGTTGACGCCATTATTGCAACTTTTTCAAGAAAATTTAAACATATAAATAAAACTGGATGGATGGATCGATCGAATCGTATGGAAATGAGATGAAAAGAATGGAAGAAAATCTAGAAAGAGGATGCAGGTTGGAGAGATAATAATGAGGTTGTTGTGGAGATGAGAATGAATATATACGAAATGGTCGCGAGGGGAATGAGAATTTGAAATACGGATCGGATCGAGTTTGTTTTAGTCTTTTGGACTTATTAGGTTTTACAAAATTCATTAAATTGTTTCTATTTTTTAGTCCCGTCGTTACTAGATTACCTCGATCTATAACATTATTGGATTACATTTATATTTAGTACACGGTTTTTAATTTTATCACATGTAATCTGTATGAACAAATTTCTAGTTAAAACGACTAAAATTTACCGCAAACATAAAAACAATAAAATGAGTGGTAAGTGACATAATAATGAATAGGGCCGGGTGAGATTAAGAACGGTGGAGTTGTCAAGCACTTTGTACTCAGATGATATGTAGTGACTTTTTTCATGTGGGAAGCCATGAGATCGAGTCTCACTGAATATGTTGTTGACTCTGTGTGCATAATTCATTATGTTATGTTGAGAGAAAGTATGCGTTAGGTGTTAGGTAAGTGGGAGGATGCAATTGGATTAAGTTAGGCTCGTAAAATTATATGCGAGATGTTAGTTTGAAATGAATGGTAATAGTGAAGAAATTATGTGTGTTTCATATTTATAAAATACTAGACTAGAAAAAAAAAAAGACTAGAAATGTTTTATAAAATTCTTTTTTTTTTTTTTTTTTAAAGTTAATTAATTCAATGGTTTAGAGTAGCTGGTTATTAGTGTATTGTTAATACAACCATGTTAGAGAGCTCTAAACCATATAAGTTCCCTTAACACCAAAATTGGATTAGTTTTACGAAAGTGAGATATTGGATATTAAATTGTATGAAAAAAAAAATTGTTAAGTTTGAATGTTTTCATTTTCCCTTCTAATTTTGAAAATAATTGAATTACAATTTTATAAATATGTTCTCCATATCTCCATGAATTTGGAACACTTTTTTTTTTTCTTTTGAAATACAAGAGGCTAATCATTTTTTTTTTTTTAGTATTACTGACTATACAATGTAGTATCTGTTCATATCTACTTTTTCAATCTACCTCAGCACAAAGAGTCAATATCGTCCTTATTGGAGCTCACTTATTATTAAATACATGATGATATTGTTTGTCTGAGCACAAGAACTCTCCTTTAGGAATTAGGATTATAATGAAATGTTATAAAATTTATGTAATCTAAACAATAAGTTGAATCCCGCTTTTATGTAATCAATTACATAATATTTTAAAATTTATGTAATCTATACAATACGTTGAACAAAAGTCGTATTAAAAGTTAATAGTAAGAATTTTATGTAATCAATTACATAATATTTTAAAATGTATGTAATCTATACAATACGTTGAAGAAAAGTCGTATTAGAAGTTAATAGTAAGAATTTATCGTTTACTTTCTTCTTCTTTTTCTTTTTTTTAGTGTGGATGACTTTTGAAACATACATGATTTCATTTGATTAACATATATAATAATAATAAATTTTAAATAAATTATTACAATTCACAAAATTTAAATAAAATCTAAAATATGTACCATCTTCTATTGCAATAATTACAATTTACACCTATAAGAATTGGAACATCTATCCTTGTATCAACCCTCTACAATGTACTCCGTACTTTTTTTTTTTTTAAGAATGTCATAATTCTTTTTTTAAAAGGAAATTTATTACTTAGAGGAGTACATTTTTACCACACAAAAAAATAATAATAATAATAATAAAGAAGATAATTGACAAGGCTACATCTTTATATTCTATGGGTCAATAACATATTAGAGACATATCATATATGTCATCCAATGACTAATAAACAAATGTAAATTTAGTTTGCTCAAAGTTCACGTCTAAATCGTGACATGTTGCAATCTAATTTTAGTAACTTAGTCAATTGAATCTAATAATGAAATTTGATGTCGAGAAGTTATTCATTTTTATATAATATTGACATATTCTAAGAATAGTATATCGTACATGTTTAATTAACAATAGAAATTCCTCAACAATGTTATTGTCGTCGCACGAAACGATAAACAGGTGTAATGGATTGGGTGGTCTATGCTAGATATAAGATGGGTTAAGTTGAACACAGGTGGTGCTAGGAAAAGTGGGTTGGGTTTTATCAATGTCGGAGGGCTTCTTAGAAATCATCAGAGAGACTGAATTTTTTGATCCACAGTGAACATCAGGGCCACCACTAACTTCTAGGCAAAGATTTGGGGGCTAAGGAGAAGGTCTTCGACTTGTCATGGAGAGGGGTTGGAATAGGGTAAATGATTGAACTGGACTCTGAAGTTGTTGTCAAGATCACTCTCGGTGACTCTCCTACCAACGAAAATGTGGGAATCATGATTGCTGACGGCAAGAAAATGATTGATTAGATAGGAACGTGTGTCAAAATTAGCCACATGTTGAGAGAAGGGAACATATGCGCAGATAGGTTGGCCAACTTGGGTCAAGATCATATTAGAGTTGGGGGTACAATTGTTCTCGAAGATCCTCCTGACGGTCTTAGAGAGCTCCTCCAAGCCGACGTGAGAGGCCCCATGATACTAAGAGTTACATACCGGGGCTCCCCGGGGGGCCTCCGATGCACCCAATAATAATAATAATAATAATAATAATAATAATAATAATAATAGTAATAATAATAATAATAATAATAATAATAATAATAATAATAATAAGAAGAAGAAGTTCATTACTTTTGCCATTTTACTTTTTTTTAGTGACGAGAAATCTGTAATCATTACTTGAAAGTGTACAATGGATAAATTTCATTTTGTATAATAATCTGTACATCACACACAAAATATAAACTGCACTAGAAAGATCATGTACGACGAACTCAATTGTGAGTCTGTTTGTAAGAATTGAATCTGTGACATAATACATTCGACACTTCAATTATGTGGTCTGACGTATAGCGTTTCATAGTATATATTTTGATAACTCCTTTGTCAAGTGTTGCACTTTTTCAATATTCATGCATGCCGTTACATTCCGTATTACTAGATTAAAATGAGAAGCGAAACAAAATTTGTTTAAAAAACAGATTAGCTATGCTTTATCAACAATGTTAACTGATGATAGTGATTAGATATACTGTGATTATTTTCGAGTTATAACACTACCACCATGAAATTTTAAATTTTAGAAACCCTTTGAAAGGATTTCAATAATTACTATCTAACAGTGCATAATGTGAGTATATATTATCTTTTTTTGTTTTTGTGAGTATTTATTATCTAGTTCAATTTTTTTTTTCTTTTTTTTGAATAAAAATGAGGGGAACCCCTGAAACAGATCTAGTGGTCATTCTTGACCAAACCACAGCAATCCATCCTCTCCCATAATTTTTAAAAGAGAGATAGGTTATTAATCCTACGAAACACGTACTTATGCTCAACGTAACAATAAAATCACTTCAATCGTTAGTTTATTCACAATTATGTTTTGTTCCCTATAAATATGCATCTCCACTTCTCACTCTCATCAATCAATCTTATACACTCCCCAACAACATTTCTAATCAATTCTCTAATCTTCTCTACTTCCCCGCACAATTATTGCAATTGTACCATCGGTCTCAAGGACTCATCTATAGTCCTTATCCCATGCAAATTGTACCCTTTGATCATCCCCAAATTTTTAGAAGAGTTAATACCTAAAATGGTCCCTTGACTATGTCATAATTACCAATTTGGTCATCAACTACCATTCTTACCCAATTAAGTCCTCAACTATACAATTCTTACCCAATTTAGTCCTCTGTATTAATTTGACTGTTTGTTGACTGTCAAAAGTCGGGATAAAATTATAATTTTACAAGATTTCTCCTTCCTCTCCATTTAGCAGCGCCAAACCATGCAGCAATACACTCCGATCAGATTTCGATCGTCAAAAAATCGTTGAAAATCAAATTCATGGGCTATCCGATGCACAACCACTACTTCGATACTGACAGGTTTAGAACCCAACCGGAGCTTATTGCTACATGATTTAGCGCTGCTAAATGCGGAGGAAGGAGAAAACTTGTAAAATTACAACTTTATTTCCACTTTTGATAGTCAACAAACAGTCAAATTGACAAAGGACTAAATTGGGTAAAAATTGTATAATTGAGGACTTAATTGGGTAAGAATAATAGTCGAGGACCAAATTGGTAATTACGACATAGTCGAGGGACTATTTTGGGTATTAACTCTTTTTAGAATCACTTTTAGCATGGTGTTGTTTTCTCGCTTTCAGTTTTTTGAATTTTTTTAAAAAGGTTTAATGGAGTAGTAATTGTTATACCATGAACCATGGTTCACCTTACAAGGTGGACTACTCAAATTCAAAATACACAATTTACATACTGAATATTCACAATTTACATACTGAATATTCACAAATATTAAATATTTACAATTTACCTTTTACAAAATTGTTAACACTTAGTATATAAATTGTATATATTAGACCCACATCTACCTTACAAGGTGGACCCAAGTCCACATAATAATTTGCCAGGGAAACTTCCCACATTCAAGATAGTTGCTGTAATTGAATATTTTGAAGTTTCTAGATGCCATAGAATTAGAAAAATTGAAATTCCAATTACCCATTCAAGATCTCACAACTATCGTCCATGATTGAAATCAAAGTTAATTGGTTAATTTAATTATTGCGTGTAGCAATTTTAATTGGATTAACCGACTAACATCATAATGAGAGAGGGTGGGGAACTTTTATATATTGTTCAAATTATTACTGTGACTATGACTGGAACTTGTAGATGAAAATCTCATTTTCCAAATGCATTTGTTCATCAACACATTCGGCTAAAACACAACGTAAATTCCACAATTATAATCACAACAATATGAATTAATATGGACAGTTGGACAATAAATGTTATATAAACAATTAACATTTTAACACATTTAGATTAAATTTTAACATCTTAATGGATCTATTTTAACAATTTTTCGTTCTTTATAATTTATTATTCAAATTCATGATAACATAAACTTGTTCATCGTGTGGGTACGTACTAATAAAACAAAACATCTGAGGACAGATTCATTCAATTACCAGTCAGGACTAGTACATTGCCAAAAGATTGGAGATATTTTACCCTAATCTCTATTTTGATTCAATAACTGTACTCAGAAGCAGAGCTCACTCTCGGAGCATATACAATGGTCTACCTGAATCTGATAGAAGCTGCAGAGATACAGGGGTCTCAAGAATGAAGATAGACATACTCTTTTGCCATTCATTTTCATCTGGCTGTGGTTTAACTGTGCAGTTAAACTACAAATAAATATATCCAAAAGAAAATAAGGACAATAAGCTATACAACCACCATACCATTTCAAATAATAGTCATACCTCGGTCTGTACAAAACATTGGTAGTTGAAATGCCTGATGTTCAATGGCGCAAGTGTTTTGGCATGGGTTCGTGCTCAGATGATGTGTTGCAACGTTTCATGAAGGAATCAAGAGTTTTTTGTTTCATAGGGCTTTTATTTGAGTTATCTTCTAATACTTCTAAGGACTTCTCTTGGCCGTCAAGCATCTGGAAATCATGGTGAGATCCCAGTAAGGGTTAGGAAGCAACTTGTTGAGTTGCCATCATGAAAAACTTTGAGACTCGACAAATATCAATATCAATATAGGTTTAGTAAAGGAAAGAGGAGAAACCTGTCCCAAATTTTCCAGCTTGTTCTTTACAACATCCCTTAAAAAAATAAAATAACCCCATCCTACACTGTTAAATGTTGTACATGTATACAATCCATAATCAAGTGTAACTGAATAATTACAAACATACCAAATTATGTCGTCAACAGTGTCATTTGCCAGCAGATAGTATATATTGACCGATGACACCTGAAATAATAAGGAAGAAACTATTTAAAGCAGTCAAAATTTTAACTTCTAATCTAAAACAATGGAGAGAACAAATTCTTCTGAAAATGTGGCATTGCACATGGAAATAATTAAAGCCAAAAGCAAATTATTTAAAACAGAGGGGGTACTAGAAAAGCTATAAATAAAATGTGACATGCCAAAGGCTGACTATAAATAACAATATCATAATCACCTGGCCAATTCTATGAGCACGATCTTCTGCTTGAATAAGGTCACCTGGAGTCCAACATAGCTCTGCAAATATGACTGTGCTTGCTGCTGTTAAGGTTAACCCAACACCCCCAGCTTTGATAGATAGCTTGAAACCAAAATAGTTAATGAACATCATTCTCCACTAATCCACTTAGGATCCAAATGTCAAATTATATTGAAGGACTAGATTATAAGGAAAGTGGACAAGACAGATACAAACTACAAAGCACACCATCTTTTGAATGAAAGTGAAGTAAGCACTGAAAGTACCACTGCAGCCTTTATTGATGCTTTTTCCTGAAAATCTGTGACCAAAGCTTGGCGTGATGCTGCTGGAGTACCACCATCAATGCGAATGCAACCAACTTTCTTTTTCTGTACAAGTAATCTCACTTCTACTAAGAATATAATTACTCAAAATAGTTCATTGAGAAGTAAGTAGTAAGTTCTTACAAGCAAATACTGGTGAATTGCATCAATCATTTCTACGTGATGTGCAAATATAAGGAATTTGCAGTCTGCCTGTGCATTTAAAAAGCAGAAAGTTAAGCACAACATGAAGAGCAAGAGAATGTAGCTTTGTGCACGTCATGTGAAGAATTGTTGCAATGTCAACTAACAAGAATGTAGGTTACCATGCATAATAGCCATGCCAGCGTTTATAAATTATGAGTTGGTGCATAAACCCAAAAAAAGAAAAAAAAAAAAAAAAAAAACATTTTGGTGCATCAGAAACGACATTGAGATACATCTAAAACATATAGAATGCAGGATAAACAGCTCTATGAGGGCCTCATTATAAAGGTCAATTTGTGCTTTCATGCAAAATTACACAGCAACCAGCTCCCTGCAGAAGTTTTCGGGAAAGACAAACATCATTTATCTCTTTTCATTTGGGTTGGGGAAAAAAAAAGAATCATTCAGGTCTACATTAGCAGTGGCTAACACACACACACACACACATATATATATATATGGTTTAACATTTGCAGTGTGAGCTTCTAAAACTTCATAGATTAAATAAGGGTGTCTAACTGTCTATTTTAGCTCAACTTCTGGTAACCCTCCCAAACTGTACATATTCAACCTGCTTGGGCATGCCACTTTTATACTGGAGGTCTATTTGGAAGGACTGAGTTCCAATCCGTACTGAGTGTCAGTCAAAAATGGTTGCATCGAACTTTTAGTAACACTTTACCACAGTGAAAGTTTGCTTAATAACACTTTACCACCCTGAACTCAAAAAATCACTGTCCCCTCAAAACCCTAAAACAATTATTCAATAAACTACTTCGCACTTTAAGCTTCATACTGGAGTATTGTTCTGTTATTGAAAATTCATTTTCACACAAATTAAAAATATTACACAATTTTATAGTTGCACTTATAGGGATGATTGCAAATATAAATTTTAAACAATTTAGAAGATGAAAATGTACATTAGCTACATCAAACAAAATTAATAATTTCAAACTTTTCCATCTTGAGCTGCTCAGTACAATAAATCACTACCTTCCCTAAACTTTATTAGTGTTGTAAAGTGTAACTTCCCTTTTTATTTAGTCACCTTAAATTGTTATATATTACTAAATTTCAAAGTGGGACATAACTTTTTGACCCAGGCTTCTACTAGATGACTTATTTCAACTTGCTGAGCTCAACCACTAGCAATTGGGGTGGGTTAAAAAACTACCTATCCATTTGCCACCTATGAGAATAAAAGAACTGAACAGTGTAGCTGGGCGGAGGGCAATGGAAAGAAAGAACGGTCAACATACCTCAATAACTGTTCCTAAGTAATCCAAAACTGATGAAATCTTGCCCTTTGCAGAAGCAACATAAATCTGGAGTGCAACAAACATCCAAGGTAATGAAAAGAGTGAACTATTTTTACCCTAATGCAAAAAAATAATAAAAAATAAAGAATAAATATGTAGGGATTGTAGGCAGTTTCAACAAATTTGAACAATGCAATCAAAGTTAATGATTAAGCACCTGAAGGGAATAAAATTTTAAGCACTTTATGGCAATTAAATTTCATTTTTGGTGCAATAAATTTAAGCTATGTTTCAGTAGCTTCAATTTGATCTTCATAAATTGGTCAGAAAAGACATGATCTATTGAAAAAACCTATGTCATACTTTCAGGATGAAATTGAAAGCATTTAAGCATTTAGGATCAAATTGAAGCTTAGCTTAATCTTCTAGACCCAAAAAAAAAAAAAAAAAAAAAAAGATATTTACTCCAAATTTTGGATAGATGTCAAATATATGAATGTACTCCATTGAAATTAAAATTTATGATGGTCATTGTGCTAAGAGAGAGTATTATGCTCATAGCTTGGGTGAGACTTGCCTTCCACATGGGTGCAAGGGATCAGAAATCAGAAGCAATAATAAGATATTAAGAGCTTGGCAAGTAGATTAATAAATAGTGGATAAATTGGGAAATCATCATTAAAAGGCGGAGCAGAAGAATGGGTCAATTTGGGATTAACTAGCTGAGAAAGGGGCAGACAAGTGTCAACTAAAAATAAAATGAGGTAATAGAGAAAATGGAACTTGAAGTGCTGTAAAAAATAGCTTGTAGTGCAAAAGCTGACAGAAGTCCCAGGTACCTTATAATTTGATTTTTCTTGCACAGAAATCATAACGCAGTAATGCACTGAAACAACAAAAAATACCTTATTTATAAGATTATTCATAGTGAGCTTAAGTGATTCAGCTTCCTCCTTGGATTGGCTTGATTTTATTTTGCTTTTGACAACCTCCAACTACAGGAAAAAAAAAATAAATAAATGATATCAGATTGGAAAGTTTTCATACTAAGAAGCTAAGTGCAGTTTTTACCCCTTTTTTATGCATAATATATCTACTTTAACATAAACACTAAAATAAAAGAAACTGAATTGCTATGACTTCAAAATATATGTCAGTAGTAAACCCAAAAGGAAGCCTTGGAGCAATGGTAGAGTTGTTCTCATGTTAGTAGACAATCCCTAGGAAAGGGGAGCCCCTTGAAGGTTACAGTTTTGAGCCTCTTAACCATCTTTGTGCTGAAAAGCAAGAGAAGACTGCAGATAGGGCCTTCTCCACACCTTGGCACCTTGTACATATCAGGAGCTTCAAGGATGGGCCACTTGCCTTTCTTAAAGAAGAATAAGCCCACCTCATTTTTTAAACAAGGCATGCTTAAGAATGTCTAAATAAAATTCAATATAGACAACCAGATTGAATTTGATGTACAGAAAATCAGCAAGTTCTGTCCAGGTAAAAATTAGTAATTCCTCTTCAAACTCTCCACAGTTAAATTTAGAGGTGAACGAAGTGAAGAACAAACTTTCCTTTTAAGAAAAATTGATATTATTTTAAATGTCCGAAAAGAACACTAGACACCAAATTGGGATAGCGAATAGAAAATTTTCGAACTTAAGCACAATAGTTCTGAAGTCCAGTAGTTCAAAAGGGAACTTACAATGCGCAAGAGAAGGATAACATTCACTAAAGTTTTGCAACAGAGAGGTAATAATTTACTATAGGCAGAGATTAGGTTGCAGTTCAAGCTGAAGGACCATTACAAACATAAATAAATTTTAGTTCAAAACTAGCATCCCACTTATGTAAAAGCATTTTTCCATTCAAATTAATAAGGAAACAAAGCAATGGTTAATTCATTTCAAGCAGAATGTAGCCATGTACTAGCAAAACTATTTTATACCTCACAAAATAAAGCATTGATACACTTCATCTCCTTATCTTCCAAGTTTAAGAAAACCTGAGAATGAGTTTTAGAAATTGAGATGCAAATAGAGAAAATTTTTTTTAAAAAATGGTATGATCTAATGTGATAGGAAATAGAGTAAGCATTACTTATTAAAAAGCACAAATTAATACGCAGTAATAAAGTTCATGTTGTGGCTTAAGTAATGTGCAAGAATCATACCCAAGAACTGCATGATCTAGAATAGTACCTGTTGCCTGCGCTTAACAGGAAGCTCCGAGAGAACATCCTTTTTGAGTCTGCGAATCATCACAGTTGCTTTCATCAAGTTGTGCAGTTCTTCGTGATTGCTTGCACCTTGATAAACTCCAAAAATGCCCTAAAATCATTGACAAAGAACTTAAGATAACCACAAACACAAAGAAGCCTCAAGACTATTATGATTAATGAGAGGTTTCTAACAGTAGTAGTAGACTTACACCCTTGCAATAACGGTTTCCATACTCGTGAACATTCTTGTAAACATCAGGATACAAGGCCTCCAGCTGTCAAGTACAAACTTTTTGAGCCAACATTTAGTAGCATCAGGCATAACACTAATACTTAGTTGCAAGTTCAAACATACCTGTTTAAAAAGCTCAATTGGTCTTGACAAGGCAGGAGTTCCACTAAGCAATATGGCATATTTGGCTTTCTACAATAATCAATAATGCAAATTCATTGATGAAAACCAAGCCCCCATTAGTTTTATGGGATGAAGAGTCCCATCTGGGCCCTGAAGGGTGGGAGGGGGATTGGGGTTCGGGAGTCATTAAACGCATTGCTTCACAACCCATTTGATTCTCATTATGCAATCTTTATTTTTTGAGAACCGATAGACAAGAGTGGATATATATACAACTTTTGAAACTTAAATGAGTTTATACTATAGCACTAAGAGGTGATGTTGGACATAGTGTGCAAGACTGCAACTCTGCAAGGCCTCACATCACGTAGAGTCCAGGAAAGGAGATGCATGTAACCTCTGTTCTAAGAGGTGGTTTCCATTGCTTGACCATTAAGAAAGACAAACTTAAGGCCAAGTTATAGCATTGTGTTACATAATACATGTGGGAATGAGATAGAGCATACAGATTGAGGTTGTTTCCAGAGCTCAAACATTATTAAAGGTCCAAACTCCAGCTTATGCTAATAGCACAGTGCTACACAATAGATGTGTAGATACACTAGAAATGCAGGAACTTATACTCTTTCCACAACTTATCGCATACTCATTAAACATTAACTTCTCAACATGTGATGAGAACGTGCAAAGAGAGGGTTTTTTTTTTTTTTGTGGAGTTGGGTGGGGCTTACCTGTAATATAGGAAGTGATGCATTGGTTCGTTTAGCCTGGGCATTCTTCAAAAAGTGTGATTCATCGGCAATAACAACCTGAATGCACACATCACAATCATTCAATCATATAACATTAGCTTAAAAACTACTAGTCATAAAGGAGTTAATTACTACATTTTATCCGGCTTTTCAGTTTTGGTATGGCAAAAAAACCACACAATGGATGAAGGTACATTGTATGTAAGAGTGTTCTCCATTTAAACTGGAAAAATAAATCTTAATTGATTGCTAATGAGTTATTGAGGACCAATAAAATATAACCACTTAGGTATTAAGATAATGAAAGTGTTACAGCACCAATTACCTTGAACTCTGATGCCATTAAGGTATCCTGTAACTTAGGAACAGTGTCATAGGATATTATATTAAAGATGCCATCAAGTTGGATAGATCTCTTAGCATTTGAAGGCACAATTTTGAATCCTGCCCTATTTGAACCACTCAATTGAGATAAAACCACCTGTGCATGGGTTAAATAGAAATTTACTAGTACAGAAAATTGAAAAGAAACCTTATCTATTACCACCTATGATCACATTTATCGAGAACCACATTTAATGCACAAGAAAAAAATTTGGTGGAAAACACAACAGAAAGAGCAGTCTTATTATAAATATAAGTAAGCCCTAAGAAAAGAGCCCACATACAAACAGAAGTTAGTTTAATAAGTATGTTGCAGAGCTCAAAGCCATGCCTGTGAACAAAATGGCAGTTACATAGTGTTGACTATTGAGGTGGTCTTACAACAGTATAATATCAGACTCAAACTAGCTATAGTGATGGATAATTTATATGCTTATGTTTAGAACAGAATATGGAACGTACAAGGATATCTGAAGGTGAAATATCCAACCACTGTTGAATCATCTGCAGTAAATTCACTAAAGCTATGAGTATCAGGTATAAACTCCTAAAGAAAGAGATATACTGACATGACTTACAGAAGCCCAATGAAGACGCAACGAAGATGGAGTAAGAACAAGAACGGGCCATGATTCACGGACGCAAGAACTTACAGCAATGGCCTGCAGAAAAAGAGCCAGAACTCTGATAGATGTGCTTATAATAATGTGGCGAGGAATAGTCTCCATATATGCATGTCAAGGCAGCAATTAATACATAAACTTTGCTGCTACTAAAAGTAGAAACAAAAAAGTTGAAAGGGAAATTAGATTCCAGTTAGTTAGTAGCCATCAGCAATAACCCAATTGAACATGATAAAACAAAGCATATAGAAATTGATAAGCAAATTATCAAGGATATAACTATGGAACTAGGAATAGCATAGTAGTCAATGAGTTGGACAATAGAGATTAAAATGCACCAACTTCATGTGAATTAAAACCTATCACTTCAGAGCTATAATATAGCTTAACTACAATGCAGTTTTGGTCATAAGACTGTCTCACCTGAATTGTCTTTCCAAGTCCCATCTCGTCAGCTAAAAGAATCCGTGCACCATGTTGCAAGGCGAATCTGAGAGGGTCAACATTATTAGTCCTAAAATGCAATTGAAAATTGAATTTCTAAATTGGGAAGCAAGAAATCATAAACCAATGCATTGTATATGAAAAGCTCAAGGACTAAAATGGCCACATGCCCTCCCATCTTACCTTACTCCATCACACTGAAAAGGCATTAGCTTCGTTTTAATGCTGTCAGGAATGGATTCATAGCGATCTATGGAAACCCAAAAAAAGGCAGTCAGCATGTGTAGAACTGTAAATGAAATAGGTATTGCTTCCCTCTACTGAATTGAACTTAAGCCAAGCACCAAAGTATAAAATTTACAGAAGTGCCCCCGTTTCAAATCTAAGACAATACAAGAAATGAAGATTGCTAAGAGACACTGTTTAAAAAGAATAGCTGGGAAAGTTTTAAGCTAGCAGAAAAGGAGTAACAACTTAAACTCTTGGTCAAAAAATGTATGATATTGATTTCAGTATGTTATTTGTTCTATTGGCCTCTATGGACATAACAACAAGCAATCCACAGTTGGGCTAACCACCACACAATAGAAGGAACTGGGATAATTAATTTACCTTGAATATCACAAACTTCATTGGCAGCCACAATAGCACGTTGCACCAACGGATCTAAGTTCTGAACCTAAAATGTCAAAAGGAACTGTCAACATCAGCTTACTCCAAGATAATAATCACATGATTTATATATATAAATATATATATATATATATATATATATATATAGCACACACTTCAAAATCCATTTAAACCAACAGCCAGATACAAAATTATATTAAACCGGCAGTGCTGATACAAAGAGAAGAGAGTAAAGCGTATATAACTCATGACCTCCACATTTGAGCTAGAAATTCCATTTAGAATTTTTTCTGCTGATGACAATGATGACAGAGGAAACATCCACAATCTACAAAAGTAACAAAACACGTGAGAACATCTAGTTAGAAGTTGCATACAATTGAATCTTCAGATGTACCCAATTAACTATTCATCTTCAATGGCTAATGTAAACCCCAAATATTTTAAATGACAGATAGAAAACCGTGCAAACTGGAAGAAGTGGGACAGGTCACAGGTGGATACTAGAGTTCGTGTTTATTTTTTTGCCAAATATGGTTGAGATTGATGTAAACTTCTAAATATAATTACCAGGAAAAAAAAAAAAAAAAAAAAAAAAAAAAAAAAAAAGTAGATCATAATGAAAACTCACATGCATGCATAGTTGCATACCATGAAGAAAATGATAGGAAATGGCTTGGGGATACCTTTCTTTTGCATTCCAAAACGCTTTAGGTACTTTTCGCAGTGCATCTATAAGTAGCTGGAATCAAGATAAGAGCCAAATGCATAAAAACAACATGGTCTGACCGTTAAGAACATATATATAAGAACTCATTAGAAAGATTATTACCTGGTCATACAAAAACTTTGCAGCTATATCACCACTTGCATGGAGGAAAAGTTTAACAGAGCGTTTCTGTTGTTTTTGTTGTGGTTGTTGTTGTCTTGACAAATTCTCTACAGGGAACTCCACATTTAGACCAGAATCTTTTTTTTTTAATCATGATGGATGGAGTTAAACAGATACTTCAAGTTATATATCAAGTTAACAAAATATGAAATATGCAAGGACCTCACCAGTTGCCTTATTTGCTCCAAATGAAGGCAGTATTCTCCGAGGAGGCGACTGAGCATTTTTCTGCAAGAAAATAATAGTAGGCAATGAATCAAGTACTCCATATAGGTCAAAACAAAAAGAGCATAAGAAACCCTAGTTAGTTGCGCAATGTGCAAATAAAATAAGAATAAGAAGGTAATAAAGAGCAATTCCAATTTCCAAAGAAACAAAGCTAACGAAAGAGAACTAAGCCTGGCCTGACCACAGAAGCAGAAGAGAGCTCCGGCCGGTGGGGAGAGACCGGAGTATGGTGCACAGAGGTGGTGGCAGCATAAGACGAGGAATTGCGCTCAGCGATTTGCCTCATTGCATCTCGCTCCAGAGAATCCAGCTCTTCCGCACTCGGTTCCCAGTCATCCAACTCCATTGAAGTCCAATCAGAGAATTGAAAAGGAAACTTTCAAAATTTTGGGGTGATTCAATATCATACAAGCAATTCAGCAAGGAAGGAAACTGAAGCTCCTGCACAACATTTGAAACCCCCGAAATCTTATTTTAGCGGGCTGATAATAATAATTGCTAAAAGCTAATACGGACTATCATGCAATTTGGACCGCAAACGGGATGAAATACTGGGCCCAAAAGCAAAACCCCGAAATCTTATTTCAGCGGGCTCCAAATGTTTCGTTAGCTTTCATTTAAAAAGAAATTGAATTTTTTAAAATATAATTTAGAGATATAATTGATTTCTCTTTCATCAAATCTTTCATATCAATGATTTTGATTTGTCCACAAGTTCTCATGTGGGGTAATTCTAATATGAATAGGGTTATATATATATTAGATCATATGAGATCAAGTCTCAATAGTTATGCTGTGCAACCAGTTACAAAACGACGTCGTTTTGACTAAAAACGCGCGTCTCATTTTTAAAAAAATAAAAATCAGTTTCGATTCCCCTCAACAGCATTATTATGGATATATAGTTATGAATTATTGTGGATATATAGTTATGAATTTTTGGATATATAATTCAAATTATGCACAAAAAATACTATTGCCGGGAATCGAATCTGGATTTTTTTTTTTTAAGTGGGACGCGCGTTTTTAGTCAAAACGACACCGTTTTTACAACCGTGTGCACTATACATGGTGCACACGGTTGCACAGCATAATTTGCAATCAAGTCCTTAGGAGAAAGCTATGGATCAATCTTAGCCTGAAAAAAAAATATGATGGATCATATCAATTTTTTTAAAAATGAAGTGACATTTTTATAATTATCACCAACTTTACTATACGAACTTGAAAAATAAAATCTGCACTTCTCATAATTTTTCATATTTGTACATTTAGTATTAACATATTGTGCATTTAGCATTAATATTTTGTATATTTAATATTAAAATATTATATTTACAAAAAAAAAAATGTGAAATTGCATTGCAATTAGATTTTTTATTTTAGAGTTTATGACTAAATTTTTCTTATCTTATTTTGTTTAGGCGCATTAAATGCTTGAGGATAGGACTTTTGGACATTCTATAATTATTTACCTTAACTCGAGAGCGTCTCACCTCAGGTACAACTACCCGATACTAAGGAGTATTAACCGAGTACAGTATATGTGTATTAGTTACATCAAGGGGTAATTTTATATATATATATATATATATATATATATATATATATAATGGCTTGTCGAAATGAGCAAATTATGTTCATAAACATAAGACATTGTGTTCATCATTGGTGGAAATGTTAATAACTAAAATTTTATATTACTACCTTTAACGGGATGTTTGGTTGGAGGGAATTCAAATTTAATTACTACTTAATTCCTACCTAATTCCAAAGGCTACTAAATTTCTTTGTTTGATTGAAAGAAATTGTAATTCCACGCAATTTTCTTATTTTCATAGAATTAAAATTTCATGTCTCCCTGGAATTTTAATTCCATGAATTTTAGGTAGGGAAAAAAAGGTAATAATGAGGCAAAATTACTCTTTTATTTTCTAAAAAATTGATGTCCACAACAACAATAGACATTTTTGGACTTGATACTACTTATTCCCTTTCAATTCCCATATATACCAAACATTGGAATTAAAATTTTCAGTAATTATATTCCTGTAAACCAAACACTGGAATTTAAATTCACACTTTATACTAGTAATTCATCTCTCATTGAATTGTAATTAATTTCTCATGTAATTACCTCCCTCCAACCAAACGCCATGTAAATTTAATATTTACTAAATTGAGATTTAACTGAATGATTAAATTTAGAATAAAATCAATAGTTAATGAACTATTTATGATGAAATTGAAAATTGATGATGAAAATTAATAAAAGTTAATAGTGAATGAATCATTTACGGTAAAATTAAAACTACATTTATAAAATTAAATATAAATAGTAGTGTAGTAAAATAAGGTACGGTGGACTGGTGGTGTTAGAGTGGAAACAAAGATAGACAGATAGTTATGAAGAAATCTAATAAGATAATGCTATATTATTCTCCTAATTTTATTTTTCGATGTTTAGTTTCATACATAACAATACTTTTTTGTTTTGTTGAAACATACATAACCATACTTAATTATATTTGTTTTTTTTTTATTTGACTAATAAATACATTTATTTTGTTAACATGAAGTATGGTCATTTCACAAATAGTCAAATGAATATAAAATTGTATTAGTGCTCGACAAATAACTGTTAACTTTTAATTTAATTAATTAATAACATTAGTTATTTTCAAAAAAAAAAAAAAAATTAATAACATTAGTTGGTTGTAGAAATATGTTTGGTAAATTAGCTATTAACTATTAGCGGATTACATGCAAAATGATATTTAATTCATTTCTTTAAAAATCTGGTCCAAATAGTTGTTTTGAGTTTTGAGGTTTTTATTTTATTTTATTTTATTTTTTTTAACGTTTTAGAACAATAAATTATTACAGAAAGTTGATCAACTAAACATTCATCTCGGCGGTTTAATCAAGCTTATTACCTCTCTTTGACGTGTCGTCATTATTGGATACATAAATTTTTTATTAATTTAATATAAGATTGGTCATTCATTAGTAATCAATAATATCACAATAAAAAACAAGTTTCATCTTAAGGGGAATTCTATTTGCACCACCTATTTAATAGGTGTGATAACTTTTAGGTGGTGTAAATGAAAAATTGTTATTTGCACCACCTTCATTAATTTTAGTCAAACATTATTTTTTTAACAAATATTTATTATAAATGACACTTTTTCCCCTTAGGTATATGCTTTTAACACTTTTTCCCTCTTAGTTATTCATGTATCCACATTTGCCTCCTAGTTATATTAAAAGTGGCATGTTGTCTTCCTTTTATGTTTGATAGACATTTTTACCATTCAAACTAAATATTTCATTTATTTTTTCTTCTCCAACAAATTATTGTTTATATGTACGGATGGTCACGGTTCAGTTCAAACAATTTTTTTTATTTATTATTGTCAGTTCAAAATTTATTTATTGATTATAAATTTTATTTCTTATTTTAAAAAATAATAATAATTTTTTTTTTGTATGTTATTTTTTCGGTTCTGAATCGTAAGCAAAGCCAAAGGGAGTTTGTTTTAATTTGCAATCACGCGTGTTATATATTACTCTTCCGAACTTCATTCCAATTAAAAAGGGGGGAAAATATTGATTTCTTAGGCTTTCGCAGTCATATTGAAGTTGACAATCCATTACGTTCCAATGGCATTTTGGAGTGTGATTTTATATCTAAGATTATATTTGATTTCTCTCTTTTTGAGGAATGCACACCTTCATTAAAGGACATATATACTAGTAATCTACAATTACTTTGATTTAACATCAATTGGTTTTTATATGATTATCTTAATCTTAATTATAATAAAGCCATATGGTCTTGTGAAAATTAAATGTTGATATTAATGGTTAAATATTGGTATTAACAACATGTAATTTTCACAAGACCATATGGTATGTATATATATATATATATATATGAATTGCAACTATGTTGATATTAGGTTATGTATTTTTTAATAAATAATATTATTATAATGTTGTCCAATATTCATTCCGTGCATCGCATGGGTAGCATACTAGGAGTAAACATACTCAAGATTAAATATGTATAGCGCTAGTTGCGATTAATAATATATAGTAACTTTTTCATACTATTTTCAATTATTAAATTAAATATTGTAAATACAATTTCATAATTATTTTGTCATATACTTAATAAAAATGTAATTTTAAACAATTAAATTGTGGTTCATGTTTTCTTCTTCTGTACTTCAAATACCATTATTAAAAACATTTTTCTTACCTATTCTAACATTACAAACAAATTTTTAATATTTAGTCCGTGCATCGCACGGGACAATACTAATTATATATAATATGATTAAGCCAACTATCATGTAATATGATGACATTTCAATTACCATTTCAAATAAATGGTCATAGGTCCGAACCTTGGGAGTGGAGCTTAGATTCTTAGGGTTAAAAATGTTTAAGAAAATATAGAACAAATCTAACTAATTGTGAAGACACAACACAACTTTATTTTCTTATACTTACGATTCAGAACCGAAAAAATGAAATAAAATAAAATAAAATAATTATTGAATTTATATTATTTTAAAAATAAGAAATAGAATTTATAATAAATAAATAAATTTTGAATTTGCAATAAAATAAAAAATTGTTTCGAACCATAATCATCCGTACATATTAACAATAATTTGTTGGAGAAGAAAAAATAAATGAAATATTTAGTTTTAAGGGTAAAAATGTTCACCTAACATAAAATGTAGAAAATCTGCCACTTTTAATATAATTGAGGGAGCAAATGTGGATGAACAAATAACTGAGAGAAAAAAAAAAGTGATATAATCATATAACTCAGAGGGAAAAAGTGTACAATTTTCCCTTAACCGGAAACTTTTAATTCGATTGCTATAGTGTCCGGTTCAGTTAGAACCAAACCGTGGCCATCCCTACGTATACGCAATAATTTGTTAGAGAAGAAAAATAAATAAAATATTTACTTTAAGGGTAAAAATGTCAATTTAATATATCGAAGGAGAGGGGGGGGGGGAGGGGAATCGTCACTTTTAGAATAGTTGAGGGGCTAATATGCTAGCATGAATAATTCAGGGGTAAAAAGTACTATAAGTATATAACTTAGGGGAAAAAAGTATCATTTTCTCTTAATTAAATTTTTAATTAAAAAATTATTAATTACACCTCATAAATGAGGTTTGACCACCTTGGTGTAAATAGCAAAATGAATCCCCATTTGGCTATTTACACCACCTATGTAATTATTAAAAATTTTCACATTTTTACAATTTCAAGATACTTTATACCTACTTTTAACCAAAGGGTGGTGCAAATAGCAACACCATTTCTTAATTAGAAAGTGATAATTGTACATGTAAAATGCATTATTGGCAAAATATTTAAAATACAATATTACAAAAAGGAGGATTTTAACAAT